TCTTAGTTGCTCAGCTTGCCCTGCAGGATGGACGTCAGGTGCACCAAGCGCACTCAAACTCCACCACCCACATTACTCAACCCAGCTCAACCGCCCTCCATCCTCTCCCCTTCCCTCTCACCTTCTGAATCGCCTCGAAGATGGGCACGAACACGTCAGTGTCGTAGTTGCTCAGCTTGCCCTCTCTCTACCTCTCTCCTTACCATACCCAACCCTGTTCAGCCCCTCTCCACAGTTCCTCACCTTCTGAATCGCCTCGAAGATGGGCACGAACACGTCAGTGTCGTAGTTGCTCAGCTTGCCCTGCAGGATGGACGTCAGGCGCTCAAAGCCCATCCCCGTGTCCACGTGCTTGGCAGGCAGCGTCTTGAGCGTGCCGTCCGCTTCCCGATTAAACTGCAAGAAACATCAAGAGACAATAAGCATGCCAGGCGCTCAAAGCCCATCCCCGTGTCCACGTGCTTGGCAGGCAGCGTCTTGAGCGTGCCATCCGCCTCGCGGTTGAACTGTGGGATGAGGTGTGGGGTGGGGTGGGATGAGGTTTGGAGGGGTATGAGGAACAGCGAGCACGTGAGGCGCTCAAAGCCCATCCCCGTGTCCACGTGCTTGGCTGGCAGCGTCTTGAGCGTGCCGTCCGCCTCGCGGTTGAACTGTGGGATGAGGTGCGGTGGGGTGGGGTGGGATGAGGTATTGGAGTGGAGCAGGTGCTTCAAGGAACAGCAAGCACGTGAGGGACTCAGAAACCCATCCCCATGGCCATGTCAGTCAGAAGCTCGTGCTTCACGTCACGTGCTTGGGAGAAAAGAAGCCTCTTATCCAAGCTTGGATGAATACTCTGTTCCATATCCCAATGCATGTGGGGTCATCAGCGGACAAGCCTCAACATACTCGTTAAAGAAACACCTGTTTAGAGCACGCTCTCACCTGGATGAACACGTTATTCCAGATCTCAATGCACGAGGGATCGTCACCTTTAACACGCCTCTACATACATACTCGTTAAGGGACAGTCGTTGCAAGCACACTCGCACCTGGATGAACACGTTGTTCCAGATCTCGATGCACGTGCGGTCGTCGGTGTTCACACATCCTTACACACCCGTTACAAGCACTTACGTTATAAGCACCCCCTCCTCACCTGGATGAACACGTTGTTCCAGATCTCAATGCAAGTGGGGTCGTCAGCGTTCACCAGAGCAGAAGCATCGCGGCCGCCCAGGCGGTCAAAGTGGATCTCCGTGCATGGCCCACAGGGGCCCGTGTCGCCCATCTCCCAAAAGTTATCCTGCATGCACATGCATGGTTGCATGGTTGGGACGGGAGGGAACTGCTTATTGGAAACTAGAAAACTATCCAAGCTGCAGCATCGCGCCCGCTCATGCGGTCAAAGTGGATCTCCGTAATGGGCCACAGGGACCGGTGTCGCCCATTTCCCAGAAGTTGTCCTGCTCGGATACATGGATGGATGGATGGATGGATGGATGGATGGATGGATGGGATGGGAAGGAACTGACTGTTAGAAGTTAAAAAGGCATCAAAGCTGCATGCAGCATTACGCCCACCCAGGCGGTCAAAGTGGATCTCCGTGCATGGGCCACACAGGAGCATTTGTGGGCTGGACCATCCACGAATGAAGCCATGCAGTGTACCAGGGACCTCCATAACGAGTACGAGACGAACCTTGCAACCATACGGCAGCACTCGGCTAGCTGGGAGCACGGTGAGCCAGATGTCCCGAGCCTCCAGGTCCGGTTCCAAGCCTAGCTTCTCGTCCCCACCGAAGTAGGTGGCATAGAGCCGATCCTCTGGCAGCTTGTACACCTGATGATGGGAAACAAGACGAAAAACCACACAAGCAGCCGGGGGGAAGGAAGGGGGGTGGAAGGTGGGTGGAGGTGGCGTAGAGCCGATCCTCTGGCAGCTTGTACACCTGGTGCAGGGAAACAGAGAAACACACAAAGCACACTGAATAAACATCCAAAAAGGCGATCCTCCAAACAGTGAAGACAAAAAAGCCTCACATAAGCCTTGTCCGAAGCATCCAAGTGATGGGCCAGACCAGACCAACCTAACGTGAGCTGCTCCCGAGCCAAACTACCTCTGTCCGCGAGCAGCTAGCCCAGTTGAGACCCACCTGGGTGAGGGTCTAGCCCAGCCCAGACTAGGCGCACCTGAGTAAGAAGCTCCCAGGCCCACGTGATGGCCTCCTGCTTGAAGTAGTCCCCGAAGGACCAGTTGCCGAGCATCTCAAAGAAGGTGTGGTGGTACGTGTCCTTGCCCACGTCGTCCAGGTCGTTGTGCTTGCCGCCCGCGCGGATGCACTTCTGCGAGTTCACCGCGCGCTTGAGCGAGGCGAGCGGGCTGCGCGGGTCCACCGTTCCCAGGAAGATGGGCTTGAACTGGTTCATGCCTGGCGCGGGAAGGTGGGGGTGGGGGATAGGGGATGGAAGGTTGAGTGGCATCGTGCTTGCCGCCCGCGCGGATGCACTTCTGCGTGTTCACCGCGCGCTTGAGCGACGCGAGGGGGCTGCGCGGGTCAACGGTTCCCAGGAAGATGGGCTTGAACTGGTTCATGCCTGGCGGGTGGGGGGGGGGGAGGAGGGGGAGAGGGGAAGCGGGGGGTGAGTGGGCATGGAAGTGATAGGCATCAGCGGAAACGGAGATTGAACGGAGACCAGGAAGCGTAACGAAGGGGACGACGTCGACGCGGGCTGCATCGTGACATGCCATGCGCGCACACAGCCGCCTCGCGTTGGTGAACAAGACATTCGTAAGTTGGTTCTTGACAGTAGAAGCGACTCAATGTCGCATCGCGGACTGCACGCAGACGCCGATCTGGTGATCTGACCAGCTTGAGCATGTGACACGTGTACGGTACGATCATACAGTAGCTGCACGAATGTCGAGTCGCTAGAAAATCTGAAGATCTCGAGCATTTTAAAACTCCTGTGACGTGTGTGTACAATCTACAATCAGCGCATGCCGCCGCCAGCGCATCTAACGCTAAGAGACCCGCTCTTGCTCTTCCACGCTTCAGTACGCCTATACCGAAATCGCAGCAGCCTCGGACGGACGCTAGAAGCGGAGAGAGAGCAACGACAGGCGAGGCGGAGGCCCGGAAGGCATTGATCGCCGATCCTGTATAACGAGACCACTAACCGACGATGCAGCTTAAGAGTACTGACATGCGTTGTGGAGCTTAGGAGCAGCTTACACGCACTGAGCGGCGCTACTGTCTATTGAGAGCACTGACCGGCGTTGGCGAAGAGGAGCGTGGGGTCGTCCAGCGGGACAACGAGGCTGGACGGCACGTGCGTGTGCTCGCGATCCTTGAAGAACTGCAGAAACGTGTCGCGCACACGCGTTGCCGGCCATTCCAGCTCCGTTCCTGCTCGATTCGCACATTCGACAGGAGATTAATCTCAGGCCTATGAGGTCGTACTAGCAAAAAAAAAAAAAAAAAAAAACTCGTATTAGTCCACCTGATGCTGATCCGCCCGACATTGCGGCTTGGAGAGGCAGAAAAAGTATGCACGCAGATCGGAGGAGCAGCTAACTCAGGAAGCTGAATGCGTGTGGAATAAGCTAGACCCACTTTCCTGACTAGGGAGTGGCTAGATAAGGGAGCGTGTGTGGCTAGATCTTCTGGCGGCGATTATCTCGAGGGTGCTGTCAAGGGGAATAGAGTGTATTTGTTACTTGGTTGGCGTGAAAAGGCCGTATATCTCAGTTTGATAACTACCTCGGTTTCCCTCAACAAAGCTGCTTCGATAGTGTTTGGTTGGAGAAGGGGGTCGTGAACATCCCCGCTGCTTCGATAGTGTTTGGAAGGTGTTTCTGCTTTCGCTTATCGCGACGGTTACCAAATGGCAGACCTCGCGTTGATGTCAACGGCTAGGGCGGGCCTAGTGGACGTTTGTTCGGGTCAAGTTTTCCGAGCTTCCAACCGAGACGACTTTGCATCTTCTCCCAACCGAACTGCCCCAATTTCAGGTCTTCAGAACTGCTTCCTCTCTCGCACTCCACCTAAAGTACGACACGGGTGCCGAAATAATCCTCGTGTTCGGCCCTGTGACTGTGAACTGCGTATCGGAACTACGGGTCACTGGTGACCCGTTCTGGCGCCAGTTGATTCGATGGCCGGTTCACAGAAAACTTTCAAATGCGTGTGATTGGTTGGTGTAGGATGGTCAGGTCGGTGATACTCTGTTTATGTATTTCATTTGCATTCACCTACACAGTGACTTGTTTTGGTCGTCAACTGCTATCCAATGACGAACATTGTTTCGCCGTCAACGTGCTTATCTTGGACTGACAGGCCCCCTGGTGGTAACCTCCCCCCACCACAGTCAAGTTCATCGGTGCTTTGGATTCTGCCGAGCCTTCTGCCTCGGTTTGGTGTCATTCGGCCCGGACAAACCAGGCAGATGAAGTTGCTTGGCCAAGCCAAGAGCGAAGCGGGACCTCGAGTTGCGTTTAGGACCTAGAGGTTGCCTGGATTATCCTCAGGCTGCCTTATCTCCTCCAAACTCCTCATCGTTGCTCAAGGTGGGCTGCGGTCGACGTGGATACGACATGAGCCTTCCTCGTCACACCTGCTTTTTTATAAGAGAATTGTGACGGTATGATGCGGCCGATGCTGTCCTATGTCCCATACGGGACTGGTAGCAAGCAAGTGTAACTGTCTGATGATCGAGCAGACTTCCTTCATCAGTAAGTTCCCGCAAGATATGGCCTTAAGTATCCATTCTGGGCCCAACTTTAGACGAAATTCGAACCGATAAGGGACGCGGTATTGGAGCGAAATGCAGCCGCAGCAGCAGCAGATGCAGGCGGGACCGCAGCGGATGCAGCATTCCCAGCCGAACAAGCAGCCGATTTTGATGCAAAGACAACCACCCTCGCCTCAACGCCAACAACAACAGCAGCAGCAGCAGCCGGAGAGTCCGCAACCTGCATCCATGCGGCAGCGGTCGCAGAATGGTCCCAATCAGGAGGTCATGACTCCAGGCCGACATCTGGTCGGCGGTAGAGGCGGTCGAAATCAGCCTCCTGGGTACGCGTACGATCAGCTGAGTCGGTACTCCGTCGTTAATTTTCAAGCTGAACAAAGAAAGTGCCGAATTTAGTCACCTGGGTCGGTAATGGCGTTATGAGCTGAGTCGGTAATGGGTAGTTACGCGCGTTGTTTAAGCTCATTCTAGTCGGCACGCGTATGATGATCTATGTCGGCACTAAAGAGTACAGATACGATGAGCAAAGTCGGTGCTGCATACGCGTGGAATCTGTATCGGCACGCGTATAAGCTGCATTCGGTTCTTTGTCGTGTAGAGACACGCGTCGAAACACGCTGGAAGGGTCAAGCAGCAGCCGTGATTTTTTAACACCGTTTAGCTTCCCGCCGTTCTCTCCGTCTTCCGCCTACGCTAACTTTCCCCTTCTTTCCCCCCTTCCTCCATTCACTTCCCCCTCCCTTTTTCGCGCACCTTGCCCCCCAACCACTTGTTTTGAGGTGCATCAGGCACATCGTCCCCTGTGTCAATTCTCGCCTTCGCGCCTCCGCTCAATTGCCGCTATACCCTACCCCCCGCTCTCCCGTGTCGATTCTCTCCTTCCCGCCTCCGCTCAATTGCTGCTATTTCCTTTCCCCCACCCTCTCCCCAGCAGCGCAGAGCCAGGCGCAAGCGCTCCCCCGCTCAACAAGATGCGGAGAACTCACAGCGAGAAGCAGAGCAGCGCGGGGATCGCACGGGCGGGGGGAAGCGGAAGCAGCTCAGGGAGCGCGGCGGAAGAAGCCCCACCTTGGGCGCGGGGAGTGCCCAGCGGACCTGCAAGTGGCGGAACATGGGGAAGCGCGGGGGGAGCGATGGGCGGAGTGGGCAGTCCTGGGCGCGCCGGCGGTGGGCCCCCGCTTTTGTCAATTCCGCATTACCTGCAGCAACCGCCGCCGCTGCACCCGCGGTCTGTATCAGACGAGGACAGGGAAAGGATTTCCGCCATAAATCCCCCCGCGGGCGCAGCTGCTGCGCGTATGGCGGCCGCGAGTAGGCTGGCGCAGGCGCAAACACAGGCGCAGGCACAGAGAGGGAACGCGGAACGCGGGTCCGCGGAGCGGGAGGACGGATCCGCGTCTGATGGGGGGGGGACTGGGCGGGGGGTGACTAGCGCGGGGTACCGACCCATGCCGCAGTTTCAGCAGCAAAACAAGGGCGTGTTCAAGGCGGAACGGAGACGGAGCTTGGATCTTTGCACAGAGAAGGTGGGCTCGCCAGTTAAGGGGGGAATGCAGCGGATTGGGTCAGGGGAGGCGCTTGTTCCGGTGCAAAGGGCAGGGCCGCGCATGCAGTCAGAAGGTGGGGGGATGGGAGCTGTGGAGGGAACGTGGGAGGCTGGCAGTCCCCAGCAGCAACAGGCTCATCAAGCCGTGCAGCTGCAGGTGCAGCAGCAACAGCAGCGCCAGCAGTCAGGGCAGCAGAAGCAGGGTCAGAAGCAGCAGCAGCAGCAGAGCATGCGGAGCAGCGCTGCTGGTTCGGGTGCTGGAGGTGTAGGAGCTGCTGGTTCGGGTAATGCTGGTTCGGGTAGTGCTGGTTCGGGTGCTGTTGGCGCAGGCGCTGCTGGTACTGGTGGTAGCGCGGGGGGAGGGGGAGCGGGAGGGGGATTGGGAGGCAGAGGAGGGAGGGGCGGTCGAGGTGGGAGGGGTGAGGTATTAGGGAGGGGGGTGGGGATGGGGGGAAGAGGGGGACGAGCGGGACCAGGCTCACGTGTAAGAGAAGGTGAAAGGGATGGCGTTGTTGCTGGTGCTGGTACGGGTGCTGGTGGTGGTGCTGGCGCTGGTACTAGTGCTGGCGCTAGTGCTAGTGACAGAGGAGGGGCAGGGCAACAGCAGCAGGGTCCGCAGCAGCAGCAGCAGCAGCAGCAGCAGCAGCAGCAGCAGCAGCAGCAGCAGCAGCAGCAGCAGCAGCAGCAGCAGCAGCAGCAGCAGCAGCAGCAGCAGCAGCAGGGTCAGCGCATGAGAAGGCTGTCAGCATCGTCTGTTGGCTCAGCTGCCAGTGATGCTAGCGGAGCCTCTGGCACTCGGGGCGCAGCAGTTGTAGCGGGAGCTGTAACAGGATCTGTATCAGGAGCGGGGGAAGGGAGTGCAGGGGCGGATAGCGGAGAGGGAGGAGGCAGAAGTGGGGGAGGAGGTGGGGGAAGTGGGAGGGAAACCAGTGGAGGGGAAGGGGCAGCAGGGAACAAGCCACTCGTTGCTGCAACTGCGCCACACATAGAATCAGAGCCTGCTGGTAGTATTACTGTGACCGTCTTACGTGCCTCAGGTGCTCCAGGTGCCTCAGGAGGTGCTCCAGGTGCCTCAGCAGGTTCTTCAGGTGCTGCTGCAGCTCGGCTAGACATAGACCTGTACAGCCCCCTCCCTGGCGGCAGTTTCAGCAGCTCCGGCATTACCGCTGTTGCCACAACTGATGTTCTTAGCGGGACTGACAGAAACGAGTCAGCTTCTAACGCTGATGGCGAGCTTGACGCCACAGGGGCTGAAAGCACGCCAAGATCGAAATCCCCCCAAAAAGGCAAGAAAGGGGCGAAGGGAGAAGGGAAAATGCAGGGGAAAGGGAGGAGAGACGGAGAGGAGGGTTCAAGCGGAGGATCAGCAGATGCTGGTGATTCGAGTGCAGGGGAGGGGGGGCGAGGAGGGGGCGGGGGTGGAAAGGGAGGGAAGAGTGGAGGGAAGAAGAAGAGCGGGAGGACCAAGTCAGGGTCCGTGACAGAGATGGTTACCCATAGGCGGGCAGCGTCACAGGGCCAGGGGAATGGCCCTGAGAAGGCGTCAGCCTTAGAGAAGGGCCGGGAAGGCAGTGATGGGGATCGTGTGGTTGCTTTGCCTGGCAGCACTAGGAACGCCGCCGATGCCCCTGGTGCCTCTGATGTAGCTGATGCTGCTGATGCTGCGCCTGGTGGAGATGACGCCCTTGCTCTATACAGGTACGTCCTCTGCTTCCCTTATCCGTGGCAGAGATGGTTTCCCACAGACGGGCAGCGTCACAGGGACAGGGGAATGGCCCTGAAAAGGCGTCAGCCTTAGAGAAGGTCCGGGAAGGCAGTGATGGAGATCGTGTGGTTGCTGTGCCTGGCAGCACTAGTAACGCTGCCGATGCCCTTGGTGCTTCTTATGCCGCTGATGCGGCGCCTGGTGGTGACGATGCCCTTGCTCTATACAGGTACGTCCTCTGCTTCCCTTATCCGTGACAGAGATGGTTTCCCACAGGCGGGCAGCGTCACAGGGCCAGGGGAATGGCCCTGAGAAGGCGTCACAGGGACAGGGGAATGGCCCTGAGAAGGCGTCAGCCTTAGAGGCGGGTGGTGGGAAGGCCAGCAATGGGGATTGTGGAGTTGCTTTGCCCGGCAGCACTAGGAACGCTTCGAATGCCCCTGGTGCTTCTGATGCCGCTGATGCTGCGCCTGGTGGTGACGACGCCCTTGCTCTATACAGGTACGGTCTACCCCCCTCTTCTCTACTGCTGCTGCAGCTGCCGCTGCTGCTGCTGCTGCTGCTTTCCCAACCTCTCATATCCCTTTTCCCTCCAGTCTCCCTCCCCTCTTTCACCCTCCTCTCCCAAGGGCTGGGTCGCCCGCTCTAGGGCAACTGCAGCTGCTGGTGCCGCCAGCCGTCTTCTCACGAGTCATCTGCTGCAATGCAACGCTGCTGCCGCTGCTGTTCTGAGATGCCCTAATGTACCTCCGTCTGTCCCTCTCGGCCTCCCTCCCACCCCCTCTCACCCTCCTCCCCCCAGGGCTGGGTCGCTGGCCATAGGTCAGCTGCAGCTGCTGGTGTCGCCAGCCGTCTCTTCACAAGTCATCAGCTGCAACGCTGCCGCTGCTGCTGCTGCTGCTGTTCTGCGATGACCTACAAGTGTGCATGCGTCCCACTCCCCTGTCATCTCATCTCCCTCTCCCCAGGGCTGGATCCCCGGCCATAGGTCAGATGCAGCTGCTGGTGTCCCCAGCTGTGTTCTCACGAGTCATCAGCTGCAATGCTGCTGCCGCTGCTGTGCTGAGATGCCCCAGTGAAGACATGCTGTGGGGTAACTCGCTCTGCGAGTCCCTCTGCCCAAGCCACGTGCCTAGATTCGAGGTGAGGAGTGACAAAACGTGTGCTGGTTTGCGTAAGTCCCACGAGCAAAAACGCCCCAGTGAAGACATGCTGTGGGGTAACTCTCTCTGCGAGTCCCTCTGCCCAAACCACGTGCCCAAGTTTGAGGTGAGTGGGGACAGGCATGCCTTATATCGCCCCAGTCCCATGAGTTTATGCGTCCCAGTGAAGACATGCTGTTGGGTAACTCGCTCTGCGACTCCCTCTGCCTACACCACAGCGCACCCCAACCTGCACTGCCACACCACCCCGCTCATTCTTTCCCCCCTTCCCCACCCCCCTTCACCGTCCCTCCTTCCTCTTTCCCGCTTCCCCCTTCTCCCTCCCCCCGCCCCCTTACTCCTTCCCCTCACCCCAGGCGTGGCTGCTGCTGGTGGCGCAGATGGTGCACTCAGCAGCTCTCCCCCTCAACCTGCACTGTCACACCTCATCCGCCCTCACTCCTTCCCCTTCCCCCTTCCCCCTCCTTCTCACACCAGGCATGGCTGCTCCTTGTGGCGCAGATGGTTCACTCAGCAGCGCTGCCTCCACATCTGCACCAGAAGCCACCTCCCCCGCTACAGCTCACCCTCGCCAGCCACGCCGGCGCTGCCGTCTCTGTTCAACTCGTGGCCGTGCCACCCCTCACCCTCTCCCACTCCACCTCATCATCTTCTACTGCTGCTACTGTTGCTGCTGGTTTCACTGCTGCTGCTGCTGCTGCTGCTGCTGCTGCTGCTGCGGCTGCTGCTGCTGCTGGTGGTGGTAGTGCTGCTTTAGCTGTCCCACCGCCTGAACCTGGTGGTGATACTGTCACTCTGCTCGTCCGAGACTGCCCCTCCTTATCTGCACCTTCTACCTCTGCTGCTGCTGCCGCTGGGAAGCCAACTGTTGGTGGTACTGCATCTCTTGCTGGTGGTGCTACTGCTTCTGCCGACAGTGCGGTTGCAGTGCAAAAGGGAGGAAGGAGGGCGAGTGGAGGGGGAAGCAGCGGGGCAGTGGGTCTCGCAGATCTCTACGCCGCTGCTGCTGCCACTGCAGGCGCAGCAGGCAGCGGAAAAAACCACCCCAATATAACCGACCTATACACCCTTTCGGGACCTCCTCCTAATGCTCCTGCAGAAGCAGGGCCCCCCCTTCCCCCTGGTGCTGTGTCTCTGTCACAGCTAGGGGAGGAGGATTTACAGGTGCTGAAGGCCCTTGTGAGGAAGGAGGTGGAGGAACATGTGGGGCGGGAGGCAAGGCAGCGGGCGGCGGAAGAGCTTCAGGAGGAGCTAAAGACAAAGCATGCAGCCCTCATGGCGTCGCTGACAAGGGAAATCGCCATGCCCCTGAATGGTAGGCTAGGGATGGTGAGGAAATGGGGGAATGGGAGAGGAGAGAGGGAAGAGGGGAGAGGGAACAAGGGAGAGGGAAGAGGGGAGGGGGAAAAGGTGGGAAGGGAAGAGGGGAATGGAGAGAAAAGAATGTCATTTCGTTGAAGTGCCTGAACCCTGTTTGCCCACAACTCCCGCTTGCCCCCTTCTCCCCTTGCTCCCTTCTCCCCTTGCACCCTTCTCCCCTTGCTCCCTTCTCCCCTTGCTCCCTTCTCCCCTTGCCCCCTTTTCCCCTTGCTCCCTCCTCACTTTGCTCCCTTCTCCCCTTGCTGCCTTCTCCCCTTGCCCCCTTTTCCCCTTGCTCCCTCCTCACTTTGCTCCCTTCTCCCCTTGCTTCCTTCTCCCCCTTGCCCTTTTCACTCCCTTAACCCCTTCCCCCCCTTGCCCCTTTCACTCCCTACCCCTTTCTCCCCCTTTCCCCTTTCTCCCCCTTGCCCCCAACCCTCCGCCTTCCACCTTTCCGCCCCCCATCCCCCTCCCCCCTCCCGATCCCCACACCTCTCTCCCTTCCCCCTTTCAGCCATGGCTAGTGTGGCCGACTTTCTTCTCAACTCTCGCGCGCTAACACCTGACCAACGGTCCCTCGTCCAGCTCCTCCTCTCCTCCGCTGAAAGCCTCTTCCTCCAAACCAAACCGTCCGCCTCTCCCATTTCCCTCTCCCCCTTTCCCTCTCCCCCTTTCCCTCTCCCCCTTTCCCTCTCCCCTCCCAGCCATGGCAAGTGTGGCAGACTTTCTTCTCAACTCTCGTGCGCTAACACCTGACCAGAGGTCCCTCGTGCAGCTCCTCCTCTCCTCTGCCGAAAGCCTCTCCCAAACCCTCGCCCGCCTTCTCAAGTCCCCCGAGGCTGACCCCGAGGCTGCGCCCGAGCCTGACGACGAGGATGATGAGCCGCCGAGGCTGGAGATTCGGGAAACGGACCTGCACCGAGAGGTACGGCTTGGAAAGGAGGGGAAATGGGGTGAAGATGTGAAAGTAGCAAATTGAACAAGTGATCAGATTAGAGGAACAACCTAGCATACATAGTTGGAAGGGAAGGATGAAAGTGACCATAGGTTGGGTTGACCTCACTTGGGGAAGTGAGGGAACCATAGGTCAAGTGGGTTGGGTTGCCCACACTTTGTAGAAGTGAGGCAACCCTAGGCCCACTTGGCTTGGGGTAACCTCAATTGTGGGAAGTGAGGTACCCACAAGTCAAGAGGGTTGCATTTGGGGGCTCCACCACAATTGGGTGGATTGGCACCCCAAAGTGCAATACTACACCCAAAGTTGGGTGTAGTCCCAACCCAACTGTACACCACAATTGGTGTACAGTCACATGTGTTGGCATGCTACACAATATATATTTTAACACAACCCCTTAGCATGCTAACACAAGAAGAGAACAACCCCTGAATCAAGGGGCGCCCGGGCGAGCAAGGCCAATGAGGCGGAGGAAGGCAGAGTGCGCGGGGCGAAGGAGGGCCTTAGTGAAGATGTCGGCCAAGTTGGCCTCGGTTGCAATCTTGCGAACGGCAATGAGGCCCTTCTGGACGAGCTCGCGAACGAAGAAGTAGCGGAGTTCGATGTGCTTGGAGCGGGCGTGATAGACGGGGTCCTGAGTGAGATGGATGGTGCTGGCGTTGTCGCACCAGAGAGTGGGGCACGTCTGGGGGGCGCCAAGCTCCGCAAGAAGGAAGCAGAGCCAGCGCGACTCCTGGGCGGCCATGGTGCCAGCGTAGAGCTCGGCTTCGCAGGTGGAGAGAGAGATGGCGGAGGAGCGGGTGGAGCGCCAGCTGATGAGGCCGCTGCCAAGGGTGAAGCCGTAGCCCTGGGAGGAGCGGCGGTCCGGCTGCGTGTCAGCCCATGAGGAGTCACTGAAGCCCGAGAGAAGGGGACGGGAAGGGCCGCCGAGGGTGAGGGCAAGGTCCTTGGTCCCGCGAAGGTAGCGGAGGACCCGCTTGGCAGCTTTCCAGTGCTCCTCAGAGTGACGACCGGTGCCGACAAAGCGAGCGAGCACGCTGATGGGGTAGGCGAGGTCGGGGCGGGTGCACATCATTGCGTACATCAAGGACCCAACGAGCTCGGCATAGGGGTGGGGGGAGGAGGTGGGGGAGGTGGGTGGAGCGAGTTGGTGACCGAAGGGGAGCGGGGTGGAAACAGGCTTGGCTTGCGCCATGTCGAACTTCTCCAAGACCTGGCCGATGTAATGGGACTGGGAGAGGGTGATTGTGCGAGCAGGGCGGTTGCGCGTGATGGTCATGCCGAGGTAGTGAGTGAGGGCGCCAAGGTCCTTGCACTTGAGCCGCTGCTGCAGGGACAGCTTCACCTGCTCCATGTCGGCCTTGGTGTCAGAGAGCAGGATCATGTCGTCGACATATACCAGAATGAAGAAGCGGCGGGGGGAGGAGCGGATGAAGAGGCTGGCGTCGGAGTGGGAAGCAGAGAAGCCGAGGGACCCCAAGGTGGCAGCCAGCTTCGCATGCCACTCACGTGGTGCCTGCTTCAAGCCGTAGACGGGGCGACGCAGCTGCCAGACAGTGTTCTCAGGAAAGGCTGCGTGGAACCCGGGGGGTCGGCGGAGGAAATTGCGCTCATGCAGGTCGCCCTGCAGGAACGCATTGGAGACGTCCATGGAGTCGATTTCCATGTCGTCACGTGCACCAATGTCCATGGCGGCGCGAAGGGTGGGTGGTTTGGCGGTGGGGGCGTAGGTGAACCAGTAGTCCTCAGCCCAAGTCTGCGTGAACCCCTTGGCGCAGTAGCGGGCCTTGTACACTGGTTCCTCGCCCGGCAGCTGCTTCACCCGAAAGACCCATTTGCCGTCAACGAGATTAGCGCCAGCAGGGAGGGGGACATCGACAAAGGAGTCGTTGCGAATGAAAGCCTCACACTCCAGGAAGATCGCTGCTATCCATTTATCCGCATCAGGGCAGGTGATGGCTTCCTGGAAGATGGAGGGAGTGAAGATGGTGGGGGTAGTAGTGGCGCCAAGGACAGGAAAGCCCAGGAAGTCAAGGTAGAGGGCGGCAAGGAATGGAGTGTGCTCCCGAATGTTGAGGAACTCCTCATGGGAGTCCTCAAGGAGCTGAATGGAGGCAGGAGGAGGAGCCCCAAGGATTTTGTCCACCGAGCGGGTATGGATGTAAGGGAGGAGGAAGGGGGAGGAGCGGGAAGTGGCACGGCGCCGCTGCTGCTGCTGGTGCTGCTGCTGCTGATGCTGCTGCTGCTGCTGCTGTCCCGGCTGCTGCTGATGCGGCTGCCCCGGCTGCTGCTGCTGCTCCGGCTGCTGCTGCTGCTGCTGCTGCTGCTGCTGCCCCGGCTGCTGCTGCTGCTGCCCCTGCTGCCGTTGCTGGTGTTGCTCCCGCTGCTGCTGCTGCTGCTGCTGCTGCTGGTGCTGCTGCTGCCCCTGCTGTTGCTGATCCGGCTGCTGCTGCTGCTGCTGCCCCTGCTGTTGCTGATCCGGCTGCTGGAAAGGAGGAGAATGAGAGGAGGAGGGAGAGGGGGGAGGGGGTGCAGCTGAGTGAGCGGGGGAGGCGGGTGCGGCAGGGTCGTAGACGTCGGCAGAGGAGGAAGGCGGGAGTGGGGCGGCGACAGGTGGGAGGAGAGGCGCTGGAGGGATAAGAGGCGGGAGGATGGTGTCGGTCCAAGCGAGGGGGCGAGTGGGAGGAGGGAGGGGGTCAGGAGGAGGGGTGGAGTAGTAGGGAGTGGACTCGTCGAAGACGACGTCAATGCTGCGGATGAGGCGATTGGTGGGAGGGTGGAGGAATAGGTAGCCTGGGGAATCACGATTGTGCCCAAGGTAGACGCACTCCAGAGCGCGAGGAGCGAGCTTGCCAGCAGCGCGGGAGCGGTCGGCCGGTGGAATGAGGACGAACGCCTTGCAGCCCCAAACACGAAGGCCTGCGGCGTCAGGCTTGGCCTTGGACCAGAGTTCTGTGGGGGAGGAGGAGGGATGCTGAGGGTGGGAGCGGAGATTGAGGAGGAGGGCGGCATGAATGAGGGCATAGCTCCAGAGGGAGGGAGGGGTGGAGGCGTGAGCAATGAGGCAGTGCGCAATCTTGGTGATCTCACGGATGCGACTCTCAGCGATGCCGTTTTGCTGAGGGGAGTGGGGAAGGGTGGTGGTCTGCTGAATGCCGTATGTTTTGCAGTAAGTGGAGAGAGTATGATTGATGAACTCACCCCCACCGTCAGAGTGAAGGCGGCCTATGGGACGTTTGAAGTGGTTGCGGCACTGCTCAGCCCAGTTGATGACCACAGCCGGCACCTGGTCTTTCGTGTGAAGAAAGAAGACGGTGGAGTACCGACTGTGGTCGTCGACGAGCACGAGCATGTACCTGTGCCCCTGACGGGAGCGGATTGGATAAGGGCCCCAGAGATCCATGTGAACAAGGTCAATGGGGGCGGGAGCGAAGGTGGGATGACTGTGATGGGGGGACTGTTTGAGCTTGCCATGAATGCATGATGGGCATGGGGGAACAGGGGAGGAGGGGAGGGGAGGTAAGGTGGGAGGAAGGCTCTTAAGGAGGCGAGAGGTGACGGTGGAGCGAAGTGCGGCGAAGTTGGGATGGCCGAGTCTGTGATGTAGGAGCACTGCAGGATGGGAGAGGGCAGTAGAGGAGGAGGGGGATGGGGTGGGGGAAAAGTTGGGGGGGGAGGAGGAGGCGGATGGAGTAGAGGAGGAGGATATCGGAGGAGGGGGAGGGGGAGGGTGAGGGGGAGGGAGAAGGGGACCGGTGGAAGTACCAGCACGAGTGGTGACGTGACAAAAGGAGGGACGGGGTGTGAGGAGCGTGTAAAGGCGAGTGCGAGGGCAAAGGGGAATGCGCAGGAGGAAACGACCAGAGGCGGTGTGGTAGAGATCGCAGTAGGAAGCAAAGCCAGGGTATATGGCGGTAATGCCAACGCCTTGGAGTTCACGGTGGGAGAGGAGGTTATTGCGAAGGGTAGGGATGTGGAGACCGGTGACTGTACCGGATGGGAAGGCGGTGCAAGGAAGGGTGGAGAGGTGAGTGCAGGGGATGGAAAAGCTGGAGTCGGCACCATGAACCTGGGTGGGAAGTGGAAGGTGGGTGAGGGTGCCAGCGTCTTTTAGTGCGGTTTCGGTGGCCCCACTGTCAAGGACAAAGTCCAGGGTGGGGGGGGAAGGAGAGGGAGGGAACACAGAGTACTGGAGAGTTGTTTCATGGATAGAAGAGGGAGAGAGCGGCGGGTGCTGCTGCTGTAAGTACTGTTGCTGCTGCGGCTGCTGCGGTGGGAGAGACTGTGACGGTTGCGGCTGGAGAGATTGGGCTGCTGCTGCTGCTGGAAGCACCGCCGATGCTGCCGCGGTTGCTGCGGCTGGAGAGATTGTGGTGGTTGCTGCTGCTGGAAGCACTGCTGCTGCTGCGGATGGAGAGAACTGTGGCTGGTGCTGCTGCTGGAAGCACTGCTGCTGCTGCGGCTGAAGAAACTGTGGCTGCCGCTGCTGCTGGAAGGACTGCTGCTGCTGCGGCGGAAGGAACTGTGGCAGCTGCTGCTGCTGGAAGCACTGCTGCTGCTGCGGCTGAAGAGACTGTGGCTGCTGCTGCTGCAGGAAGGACTGCTGCTGCTGCGGTGGAAGGAACTGTGGCAGCTGCTGCTGCTGGAAGGACTGCCGCTGCTGCGGCTGGAAGGACTGCTGCTGCTGGGGATGGAGAAACTGTGGCGGGTGAGGCTGGAGAGATTGCGGCTGCTGTTGGTGTTGGAAGAACTGCTGCTGCTGCGATTGCCGCGGCTGGAGGAGATGTGGGGGGTGCGGCTGGAGAAATTGTGGTTGCTGCCGCTGCTGGAAGTCCTGCTGCTGCTGATGCTGGAGCTGCTGGAAACGCCGCAGATGGGGAGGGGGGGAGGGGGTGAGCAGGCGGAGATAAGGGGGGGGGGAGGAGTGGAGGGTCGGAGTGTTGAGAAGGGAGGGGCGAGGAGTAACACTGCTCCAGTGAGGAGGGGGGAGAGGGGCAGGGGGGGTAGCAGTCATGATGGGCGACGGCGGGTGGACCCGCGGCGGCCAAGGGTGAAGTTGCTGCTGCGGAGGCTGCTGCACTTCCCCTGCTGCCGCTGCTGCTGCCGCTGGCAGGAGGAGGGAGGGGGGGGGGGGGGGGGGGGGGTAAAGGAGGGAGACAGCGGTGGAGGGCAGAGGCGTTCAAGGTGCAGGGAGCGACGGTGACAAGGGCGCAGGCGGCTGTGCGAACGTGCGGCGGCGGGAAGGGGAGGCGGTGGCAAAGTCGGGGGCGGCGGCGACGAGCAGGCCGCGACGACGAGGGGCGCAGGCGACGGCGGAAGGGCCGCGGCGGCGAAACGAGGGACGGCGGCGGCAGGCAGGCCGCGGCAACGAGGGGCGCAGGGGGAGGGGGAGGGGGGGGGAGAGGAGTAGGGAGAGGAGGAAGGGAGGGTGCAGTTGCGGCTGAATCTGCAGGCGGCGACGGGGCAGTCACGGTGGCAGGAAGTGTGGGCGGGGATGGCGCGGTCGCGGTGGAGGATGGGCTCGGCGCCGAAGCAGTCGCGGCGGTAGGGCGGCGGCGGCGCAGTGGCGTTAACGGGAACCGCGGGGCGACGATGTTGCAGTTGCGGCGGGGGAAATTGCGGGAGGGTGGCGATGCAGAAGGGGCAGCGAGATGCGTGGGTGACGCGGAAGCAGGTGCGGCGGTGGGAGGGGAGGCGGCAATGCGAAATCGCGGCGGGGGGGGGGGGGGGGGGGGGGGGGGGGGGGGGGGGGGGGTGACGACGAGCAGTCGCGGCGGCGGAATGCGCAGGCAGCGATGTTAGGTCGCGGCGGCGGGACGGGCAGGGGGCGACGAGCTGTCGCGGCGGCGGGACGGGCAGACGGCGCCGAAGCAGGCGCGGCGGCGGGGAAGGGGAGGCGGCGACGTGACGTCGCGGCGGAGGGACGGGCAGGCGGCGACGAGGCGTCGCGGCGGCGGGATGCGCAGGCGGCGCCGAAGCAGGCGCGGCGGCGGGAACGCGGCGACGAGACGTCGCGGCGGAGGGACGGGCAGGCGGCGACGAGGTGTCGCGGCGGCAGGATGCGCAGGCGGCGCCATAGCAGGCGCGGCGGCGGGAACGCGGCGACGAGACGTCGCGGCGGAGGGACGGGCAGGCGGCGACGAGGCGTCGCGGCGGCAGGATGCGCAGGCGGCGCCGAAGCAGGCGCGGCGGCGGGAACGCGGCGACGAGACGTCGCGGCGGAGGGACGGGCAGGCGGCGACGAGGCGTCGCGGCGGCAGGATGCGCAGGCGGCGCCGTAGCAGGCGCGGCGGCGGGAACGCGGCGACGTGACGTCGCGGCGGAGGGACGGGCAGCGGGCAGGCGGCGACGAGGCGTCGCGGCGGCAGGATGCGCAGGCGGCGCCGAATCAGGCGCGGCGGCGAGAAGGGGAGGCGGCGACAGGGGGTCGCGGCGGGGGGGAGGAGGGGACAGCGGCGTTGCGCTCGCGGCGGTGGAATCCGCAGGCGAGGAAGGCGTAATCGCGGCGGGAGGGGGGGGGGAACGGCGGCGACGGCGTAGGTCGCGGCGAGAGTATGCTAGTGATGGCTAGTTGAGCCACGCGTAGGAAAGGGTTTGTAGCTGTGGGGTGGGCCCATGGGAAAAAAAAAACTGAAGGGAGGGAGAGGTAAGGCCTAGGAACAAGTAGCTCTATACCATGTGAAAGTAGCAAATTGAACAAGTGATCAGATTAGAGGAACAACCTAGCATACATAGTTGGAAGGGAAGGTTGGAAGGGAAGGATGAAAGTGACCATAGGTTGGGTTGACCTCACTTGGGGAAGTGAGGGAACCATAGGTCAAGTGGGTTGGGTTGCCCACACTTTGTAGAAGTGAGGCAACCCTAGGCCCACTTGGCTTGGGGTAACCTCAATTGTGGGAAGTGAGGTACCCACAAGTCAAGAGGGTTGCATTTGGGGGCTCCACCACAATTGGGTGGATTGGCACCCCAAAGTGCAAGACTACACCCAAAGTTGGGTCTAGTCCCAACCCAACTGTACACCACAATTGGTGTACAGTCACATGTGTTGGCATGCTACACAATATATATTTTAACAGAAGAACGGGTTAGAAGGAAGCGTGAGCGGGGGAGAGAGTGTGAGACAGTGCAGAGTGGAAAGGGTGGGCGGAGGGGAGAGTAAGAGAGCGTGAGGAGAGGGTAGGAAGGGGGCGGAGGGCAGGTGGGGTCATGGGATTAGTCTGTTTTTTAGTCGACCCAAAAACAGACTCATCACACGCAAAAGGGGACGGAGGGCAGGTGGGATCAAAGGATGAGTACGTGAGAGATGGTGTGGAAGGGTAGAGGGGAGAGGGGGTGACATGGGGGTAACACTCCTTTCCAAATTCTGTCGTTCCTTCTAACCCCCCTCCCCGTATCTCCTCGCTCCCATCAGGTGCGCGAGTGCATGAGGCTGATGGACGTGCATGCCAAGGAGAAGGGCCTCGCCCTGCTGTGTGGCATCGACTCCGCAGTGCCGCAGTTCATCCTGTCTGACGGCCCCGCCATCCGCCAAGTGCTGCACAACCTCATATTTAACGCCGTCCAGCACACTGACAGGTGGGTGGTTGGTGCTGCTGCTTGTGCTGCGCATGACTGGCGAGGTGCCTCTATAAGCTGTTCAGTTCATCCTGTCTGACGGCCCTGCCATCCGTCAAGTGCTCAGCAACCTCGTCTTCAACGCCGTTCAGCACACCGACAGGTGCTTAATGGTGCTGTGAGTGATACTGTCCATGACACTGCTCGTGGCACTCTTCGTGGTGCTGTTTGTGGTACCACATGGGGAGCCCACATGGGGAGCCCGCATGGGGAGCCCACATGGGGAGCCCACATGGGGAGCCCGCATGGGGAGCCCGCATGGGGAGCCCGCATAAGAGGCCCCCTCAAGACGCCCCAATTGTCAGTTCCTGGAATGACACAGCTCTACTAACGCTCCCCATCTACCGGCTCTTCATATTCCCTCTTCCCCACGTCTCCCGCTCCCTCACTCCGGGGTATCGCCGCTCTGCTCTAACGCCCCCTCTCCCCCAGTTGCAACGTTACAGTGTCGGTGCGACTGGCGTAAGACAGGGAAGCAGAGGAGCACCGGGTGAAGCAACGCCACAAGGACAGCGCTGCAGAAGCCACCTTCCTGGAGAGTAGAGGCGCTGCTCACCCAAATTCCGTCCACCCCACTCCCTCCTAACCCCCCTCCTCTCTGTTATCACCACTCAAATACCCACTTCTTTCCCAGGGGTGACGTCACAGTATCAGTGCGCCTGGCGTCGGACAAGGAAGCAGAGGAGCATCGCGTGAAGCAGCGGCGCAAGGACAGCGCTGCTGTAGCCACCTTCCTGGAGAGACGCAGCAGCAGCACTCGCAGGGGAGGAGTGGGGATGGGCGGGGGAGGGGGAGGAGCGGGGGAGGATGGTGCGGGACGGGAGGGCGAGGCAGGGTCGGTGCTGCTGCGGTTTGAAGTGCGGGACACAGGCAATGGGATCAATGCGGAACTACTGGCTGCTCTTGTCCAAGAGCTGGAGAAGGTGGGTCTGGGGGAGGTTGGTTCTGTAAAAGGGCCTTCTTGAAAGCTTAATTGGGTCGGTGCTGCTGCGGTTTGAAGTGAGGGACACGGGCAACGGGATTAACACGGAGCTACTAGCTGCTCTTGTCCAAGAGCTGGAGAAGGTGCTTCTGGTCTGGGGGAGGTTGATCTGGAGAAGCTCTTTTCTGAGCTTAATTGGGCTGGTGCTGGACATGGGCAACGCTGCTGCTGCTGCTGCCGCCGCCGTCACCACTGCTTCTGTTTTGTTTCCTTCCATATCCATTCTCACTCACTGCCCTTCTTACATCCCCACACCCACACCCCACCCACACCCCTCCCCCCACCTCTCCCAGAGCAAGCCGTTTTCCCAGTGCCTCTTTTCCCGCTGACTTTTGAGTCGACTCAAAAGTCACTCAGAGCAAGCCGTTTTCCCAGTGCCTCTTTTCCCGCTGACTTTTGAGTCGACTCAAAAGTCACTCAGAGCAAGCCGTTTTCCCAGTGCCTCTTTTCCCGCTCCCCCCTCTCCCTCCCCAACCCTGCTCCCCTCTCCACTCCCACTCCTCCCCTCACTCCAGAGCAAGCCATCCCCATCCTCCCTCGCATCCTTCCTCCTGGGTCGTCCCTTTGCCACCACTGGGCTGGGCACAGTGCACGCCCTCATCTCCCACGCCCTCATCCCCGCCCCCGGCACCGCCGCCGCCGCCGCACTTGCCGCCCTCGCCCCTTCAATGGCAGCAGGCGGAGCAGCAGGGGGAGGGGGAGCAGGAGGAGGAGGGGGCGGGGGAGCAGGAGGAGGGCTTGGGACGTTCAGCAGGTCGAGTAGTTACTCGAGTGCGGCGGGGGTGGGGGTGGTGGGCGGGTGGGGAGCAGGAGCGGTGCAGCTGCAGAGCGAGGTGGGGAGGGGCACGTCTGTGATGTGTTTCCTGCCGGTGCCACTAGCCTCGTGCCAGGACATCACTCCGGAGGATCTGAATCCACACCAGCCATTGGATATGGACGTGTGGACGGAGCTGCCCAATGCTCGCATACTCATTGTCGATGTGAGTCTTTGTGATTGAGTGTGTGTCTGCTTTGGGGGTGGGTTTGCTTTGGGCTTGTCTGCTTCCTCCTGCCGGTGCCGCTCGCCTCGTGCCAGGATATCACGCCGGAGGACCTCAATCCACACCAACCTCTCGACATGGACGTGTGGACAGAGCTGCCCAATGCTCGCATACTCATTGTCGATGTGAGTGTGTGCACGTGTGTCTGGGTTGAGTTGTCTTCGGTGCTGCTCGCATCGTGCCAGGATATCACTCCCGAGGACCTCAATCCACACCAGCCATTGGGCATGGATGTGTGGACAGAGCTGCCCAACGACATGCATCGCCAGACCCTTCTGCCCCTCGCTCCCGCCCATCACCGCCAGGCCAACGACATGCATCGCCAGATGGCATCGGCGCTATCCATGCTTCGCTCCACAGGGGTCTCCTTTGATGTCGCCAGCTCACATATTGCCCTTCTCTCCCGTTCTCCCCGTTCCCCGCCCCAACCCTTCCCCTTCCAGGCCAACGACATGCATCGCCAGATGGCGCTATCCATGCTGCGCTCCACGGGGATATCCTTTGACGTCGCCAGCTTACATATTACCCCTCTCCCCACTTCTTCCCGTCCCCCTTCCCCCTTCTTCCCCCAACCCACCACCGCCAGGCCAACGACATGCACCGCCAGATGGCGCTCTCCATGCTGCGCTCCACAGGCGTGTCCTTTGACGTCGCCAGCTCCTCGCAGGAAGCGCTCTCACTCTTTGAACGCCGCCCCTTCGACCTCGTGCTGCTGGTGAGAATCCCTTGGCCCTCGTCGCTTCCATCTCTGCTGAAGTACTACATCTGTTGCCACAGCCACCCTCCTGCGCCAGCTGGAGGTTGACATCGCCCGGAAGAAACACCACTGCTTATTTCCCCATCTCCCCATCTCCCCAAACTTCCCATCATGCCTGCTCTTCTCGGATCTGCTCCCTCTGTTCTCGTCCCCCCAGGACTGCTACCTGAACGGCCCAGTGGATGGCTTTGCCACAGCCACTCTCCTTCGGCAGCTAGAGGCCGACATCGCACGGAAGAAACACCACTGCTTATCATCCGTTCTCCTCCGTTCTCTTCCCCTCCCTCCCTCCCCCGCAGGACTGCTACCTGAACGGCCCTGTCGATGGCTTCGCCACAGCCACTCTCCTTCGGCAGCTAGAGGCCGACATCGCACGGAAGAAACACCACTGCTTATCATCCGTTCTCCTCCGTTCTCTTCCCCTCCCTCCCTCCCCCGCAGGACTGCTACCTGAACGGCCCTGTCGATGGCTTCGCCACAGCCACTCTGCTGCGCCAGCTAGAGGTTGACATCGCCCTGAAGAAACACCTGCGCAGGAGCAGCAGCAACCGAAGCAACAGCAGCAGGAGCCCCTCGGCTGCCGCCGCCGCTGCTGCGGCTGCTGCTGCTGCAGAGGGGCCTGGAACGGTGGTGGCGCGGGCGTGCATTGTGGCACTGACTCCCGGGACGGGGAACGATGAGGAGGAGGAGGAGCGGTGCACGGCTGCTGGCATGGACTATTTCATTCCCAAGCCGCTGCGACTGAGGGACCTCCACATGGTCATCAGGTGAGGAGCCGGCAAGTGCCTATCAGATGAGGGAGAGTGAGGTGGGCACGGGGAACGATGCGGAGGAGGAGGAGCGGTGCACGGCTGCTGGCATGGACTATTTCATTCCCAAGCCGCTCCGACTGAGAGACCTGCACATGGTCATCAGGTGGGTTGTGGAACGTCTAAGAGTTTTAAATTCTGATGCGTCTCAAAAGGCGCTCAGACTTAGGGACCTGCACATGGTGAACAGGTGGGTTGTGAGACGTCTGAAGACGATTAGATTCTGAGACGTCTCAAAAGCCGCTAGGACTTCGGGACCTTCACAAGCGTAACCCAACTCAACCCATCCGAACCCAACCCTTTTCCACCACTGCAGGCATCGTCTGGAGGTGTTGCCACCCTACCTGCTCCCAGGGCACGCGGCCTCCCTTGTGTTCTACGAAGGAGTCCGGTCCACCGTCAATCCTGCGGCTCTCACGTCCATGCCTCTTAAAGCCCTGCATTCTGTTTCCCTGCAACATTTGCCCCACCCAATCCATCCCTTGCCCCACCCACCACTGCAGGCATCGTCTGGAGGTGCTGGCGCCCTACGTGCTCCCAGGGCACGCAGCCTCCCTTGTGCTCCTCGAAGCAGCCCCGTCCTCCTCTGAAGTCTCTGCTCCTCTCACCAGCACTCCTCTTCAAACCCTGCATTCTCTTTCCCTGCAACCTGTGCCCCACACAACCCTTGCAGGCATCGTCTGGAGGTGCTGGCGCCCTACGTGCTCCCAGGTCATGCGGCCTCCCTGGTGCTCCTGGAAGCACTGATTGCTTACACCACCATGCCTCTTCAAACCTAACCCGACTCAACCCATCCCAACCCAACCCTGTCCCACCGCTGCAGGCATCGTCTGGAGGTGCTGGCGCCCTACGTGCTCCCAGGTCATGCAGCCTCCCTGGTGCTCCTGGAAGCAGTCCCGTCCTCTGACGACTCAGATGATGATGATGGTGACTCTTCAAGCCTTGCATTCCCTTTGCCCCACCCACCTCACACTGCAGGCATCGTCTGGAGGTGCTGGCGCCCTACGTGCTCCCAGGTCATGCAGCCTCCCTGGTGCTCCTGGAAGCAGTCCCGTCCTCTGACGACTCAGATGATGATGATGGTGACTCTTCAAGCCTTGCATTCCCTTTGCCCCACCCACCTCACACTGCAGGCATCGTCTGGAGGTGCTGGCGCCCTACGTGCTCCCAGGTCATGCAGCCTCCCTGGTGCTCCTGGAAGCAGTCCCGTCCTCTGACGACTCAGATGATGATGATGGTGACTCTTCAAGCCTTGCATTCCCTTTGCCCCACCCACCTCACACTGCAGGCATCGTCTGGAGGTGCTGGCGCCCTACGTGCTCCCAGGGCATGCGGCCTCCCTTGTTCTCCTGGAAGCAGCCCCGTCCTCCTCTGACGATTCCGATGATGATGACGCAACTCAACCAAACCCAACTCAATCTATCCCAACCCAACCCTTGCCCCATCTTATTCAGGCATCGTCTGGAGGTGCTGGCTCCCTACGTGCTCCCAGGGCACGCGGCCTCCCTTGTTCTCCTGGAGGCAGCCCCGTCCTCCTCTGATGACTCAGATGATGAGGAGGACGATGATGATCATGGTAACGAGTATGGCAAAAACGAGGACAGCAGCACGGCCAGTAACTTGCAGGCGTGGATGCAGGGCCTGGCACAAGGCGGCTCGACAGTGGTCCTCAACCAGCCTCCCTTCCACCACCTGGGAAACCACCTGGGCAGTGCGGCACCTGAAGCGGCACCTGACGGGGCACCTGGGTATTCACCTGGAGCGGCGGCAGCAGCAGCAGTGTCAGCGGCGGCGGCAGCAGGGGATTTCGAGGCGCAAAGGCTGCTGATGGCGAGTGCGATGCAGTCTCTACCCCCTGAACTTGCTGGGGCTCTGCAAGGCTGTGACCCTGTTGCTCTGGCGAATGCCCTGCAGGCTGTTGCTGCTGCTACGGCTGCAACGTCTGACCCAATGCAGCAGCAGCAGCAGCAGCAGGAAGCGTGGCAGGAGCAGCAGGAGCAGCAGCGACGGGAGCTGTGGCAGCAGTTTGGCTTGTCTCAGCAGGCGTTCTTATCAGCTGCTGCCGCTGCTGGCTTGCGCGGTGCTGCAGCTGGGGCGGAGGAGGAGAGTGAGGATGAAGGGGGGAGTGTGGTGGAGCTGGATGATGATGATGAGGAAGAAGAGCTAGCAGGGAGTGATAGTGATGGGTCGGTGGTACAAGTGAGGGATCCTAAGAAGCTTAGTGCGAAGAGGTCGGATATAGCAGAGCTTCTGGTGGAGTTGGGGCAGAGGGAGGAGGAGAGCAGGAGAGCGCTTGGGAATGCGGACGGCGGGGGCAGTAGCGGAGACGGTAGCAGGGATGGCAATAACGAGGATAGAAATAACAGGGGCAATGGGAGCGGCGGTTCTGGTGGTGATCGTGGTGGTGCCGGTGGTGGTGGTGGTGTTGCTGATGGTGATGATAGTGATGGTGATAGTGATGGTGAGAGCGACAGTGAGTCAGGGTCTGTAGTAGAGTTTGATCCGAACGAGGCTCGTGACTTGAGGAAGCTGAGTTCGAAGCGGTCAGACATAGCAGGAGTGATGTGGGAGCTGGGAAGGCGAGAGGAGGAGATGGAGGAGGAGGAGGAAAAGGAGGAGGAGAGGGGGGGGAGCCTGGCCGTAGGGGGGAGAGGAGGTATGGGGGGAGGTATGGGAGGAGGTATGGGAGGAGGTATGGGAGGGGCGGAGCAGCAGGGAGGGGAGATGCGGGGCATGACGATGCAGGAGATTTGGGCTCAGGTGTCGGCTCGGGAGCGACTGGAAGGCACACGCGGGGGCGATGAGGTGTGCAGTGATGATGAGGGTGCGGACAGGGGCGAGAGGCAGGGGGCGAGGGGCGGGGAGAGGGAAAGGGAAGATGAGAGTGAGGAAGAGGAGGAGGAGGACGACGAGGATGACGAGGTGGAGGAAGCGGCAAGGCAAGCGATGTTCGGAATGGCCAAGTCCAAGACGTACACCTCTCGGCAGTACCAGCAGCAGATACAGGACGAGGAGGCACAGGAGCAGCAGCAGCGGCAGGGGCAGCAGCAGGGGCGGGGGTACCTAGAATCCAGATCACGCTCATTAGGGCACGGATTGTCGGCAGCAGCAGTGGCAGCAGCGATGCGACCCAGCAGGACAGCAGTAGCTGAGCCTCCCACCATGGTGCCTGGGGCTACCAGGGCTGGTGGCCGTACTGCGGGGGAAGGGGGCCCTCCTCAGATGTCTTATCCCATCCCTGCGGAGTTTGCTTCGCCGTTTCTTCTCCCCCAAAACTTCACCACGCCGCAGGTGTTGGGGCAACAGGGGATGGGCCGGGGAGGGATGGGAGGGATGGGAGGGATGGGAGGAGGGATGGGAGGGATGGGGGGAGGGATGGGAGGGATTGGGGCAGCGGGTGGTGGTGTGTCGGCACAGTCAGCAGCAGCAACGGCTTTAATCGCCTCGTTACTCTCCCCTCGCAACACCAGCAGTGTGGGTGCTGGTGGGTTTGGAGGTGGTACCAGTGGGTTCGGAGGGGGTACCAGTGGTTTTGGAGGGAGTGCCGTCGCGCCCCTCTCCCCCCACATGCAAGCCTTTCAGGCTGCCCAGTTTGGGCTGTTCGGGCAGTTCGGGCAGATGAGTTTTTCCCAAGGTGCCCCATCAGGTCCCGATGCTTCAGCAGCAGCTGCCCTGGCAGCCACATGGCCCAAAGCCAATGGCGGCCCAGGTCTGCCCGGATCTCAAAGCTTGGCCGAGCCCGAGCCTAGCCGCCAGGGTCGGCGGTACGAGCGGCTGAGAGGAAGCAGCTCGGAAGAATCACTCGAGCAGGGGACTGGGAAGAGAGGAGGGAGAGGAGGGGGTGGGGCAGCAGACGACGATGATGACGATGGGGAGAGTGATGATGACGGGGAGGAGGAAGAGGAGGATGATGAGGATGAGGAGCCGACTCTGGTACGTACCTTCACAGTGAAAGCATCTGGAGACCAGATCAGGAGTTTGCTCAGGAGTAAAACGTCTGAGAGGGGAACGCGGACGGCGGGAGGCGCGGGCGGAGGCTTGGATGGGGACAGTGTCGAGGAGGACCCCCGAGGCTTGGTCCGAAGCAAGACGGCAGGTGCGGGGAAGGGGATGCATGCGGAAGAGGTGGTGTCGCTTTCAGCCCTGCAGGAGTTTCAGGGGCGAATGAGCAGCAGAGGAACTGCCGCTGGTGGTGCTGGTGGTGGTGGTGGGATGGGTGGGAACCAGGAGAAGCAGGCAGCAGGAGGCGGGGTAAAGGCGTGGAAGAAGGATTGGGAGGCGGAGTTTCTAGCGAGTGTGGGGCTGACTAAAGTGGGAGGGGTGGTGCAACCACAGATAGGAGGACGCGGGGGTGGGGGGGGTGACATGGGGGACAGGGGAGGGAATGTGAACCGCTTTGAGCATTTGAAAGGGGGGTTCTAAATCTGATCTGACGCATGGGGTGTGTTCACGGTATCTTTGGTCGATAAATTGGTGTGCAGTCACGGTAAGAAGTATGGTACAGTACCGCATTGTGGTGTGATGTGAATACAAAGGTTGGATTCTCAAATCATCTTCGTCGTGACGTAACGTGACCTGGAATGTGAATAACTGGCCCTGCATATTGATGACCACCTAATACCTAGGTTTTGTGCAAACAGAAAACGCTAGGGTAAAGTAGAGATTCAACGTAATGTGGTAAGTACTTGAGAATGCGTGTAGAGTTTCTTCACTCATGTACTGAACTTCAGAAGCACCGTATTTGTGTAAGTTCAGTACGTGAACTCGCTATAAGGGATCAGCTAGTACGCGGATATCTGGTAGTTGGTGAAATCTGAGTTTGTTACGTCAGGCGTACTCTATGTCATATCTGGTGGTTTTTTTCCTGGGGAAGGTAGATATTCGCCTGATGACGCGCTGACCAATACCCAAATGCTGCTGCTGATCCTTCTAAGAATTCTCCAGCAGTCAATGGGGTAATCTCTTGTGGTAACACGGAACGGAACGTAAGGGCCGTGAATGTGAGAGGCTTAGCTGTCGCTTTGTCTCGTACGTCGAGCGTTAGGGAGCTGGTCGCATTGCTCTTAGAGCTTGTGCTTGCTAAGCTTTCTTTACCAATTTTCACTCGTGTCTCTATATTATCAATATTGTAACAAGGTGTTTTCACCCGTTTCCGACCATATTTACGTTGCGTTCAAGTACGCTGATATTGAACGTTGCCGTTAAATAAGTCGTGGTTGCTCGTCCCTCGTCTCCAGCACAAGCGAAGCGCATTTTTTCATCACCAGCTTACTTAGGATTCTGCCGACGTTTGCACGGCACAAGACCTAGTCATTGCACGGTTTCCCAAATCGTGACCATTCGTTCGAGCGGCAATGGACGCTGGCGGGTCGTCGCAGGGTCGCAATCGTCGCTCAACGATGCTCCCGGTGGTGTTCGCCCTCGGGATTGTCGCATTGTCGTCGGCGCTCCTGTATCTGCAGGAAGCCGGGTCGCTGGGGAGAGGAGGAGGCCAGGGCAGCAACGCCGCGTGCGCCGTGTGGGACGATAAGGTGAGGTTCTTGTTAACAAAGATCACAAATAACAAAAAAAAACAGAACAGGCAAATAATCTCATAACCGATAACATGTTGTATCATGCGGTGCTATAGTGCGTACAGGAATTCTAGTGGTCAGCTTCTGCGTCACTCCTCGAATCGTCATTATCTGCTCTTGCTTCCTCTATGAAATTGTTCCTTTTGCTGCCTCTCTCTTCCACGCTGTTCCATGCACTTTCCTGTTCTTATATTCGGCTCCATTCATACACCCATCCATTCATACACCTATCCATTCATACACCCATCCATTCATACACCCATCCATTCATACACCTATCCATTCATACACCCATCCATTCATACACCCATCCATTCATACACCTATCCATTCATACACCCATCCATTCATACACCCGTCCATTCATACACCCATCCATTCATACACCCATCCATTCATACACCCATCCATTCATACACCCATCCATTCATACACCCATCCATTCATTCACCCATCCATTCATACACCCATCCATTCATACACCCATCCATTCATACACCCATCCATTCATACACCCATCCATTCATACACCCATCCATTCATACACCCATCCATTCATTCACCCATCCATTCATACACCCATCCATTCATACACCCATCCATTCATACACCCATCCATTCATACACCCATCCATTCATACACCCATCCATTCATACACCCATCCATTCATCCCCCCATCCATTCATCCCCCATCCATTCATCCCCCATCCATCCATCTAGGGATGAGCAAAGGGCGAACACGAACATGTTCGTGTTCGCCCCTTGTCGAACACCCTCTTTTGCCGAACCGAACACTGTTCGGTTCGGCGAACAGTTTAGGCAAAAACAGGCGTTCGCTGTTCGCCTGTGGAGGCGTGTTCGGGCGAACCTCGAACACGTTCGTGTTCGCCACGGGCGTTTTGCAGCAGCGCCACGAACACGAACGTGTTCGGGCGAACCTCGAACACGTTCGGGCGAACGATTTAAGCTGAAAAACAAAACCTGTTCGGTTCGCCTCGAACACGTTCGAGGCGAACCGAACAGGTGTTCGCCATCTTGCTCATCCCTACATCCATCCATTCATCCCCCATCCATTCATCCCCCATCCATCCATCCATTCATCCCCCATCCATGCATCCCCCCATCCATGCATGCATGCATGAATGCAGGTGGTGCCTCTGGAAGAGCAAATGGCGCATCTAGACCAGCAGGTACGTCCCTACCTGCCATGCTTGCATTGCATTGCATGTAAGTAGACGAGTTTTGAGACGTCTCAAAAGGCAAATGGCGCATCTTGATCACCAGGTATGTCCCTACCTGCCATGCTTTCATGTTAGTGTCTGTCTCGTCTACCTTGCTACCTCTAAGCTGTTTCAACTCTATTATCTGTGATACGTCGCAAGTCAGGAATTGCAACTCAAAACACCTTCCCTCAAGCCCCTTGCAAGCTAACCTCTTTCTTTCTCTCGTTTTTTTTTTCCTCTCGGAGACTCGGACTATCTGAAACTCATAAAGTGTCCATTCTTCCTGCTCTGCATACTCGACTGGCCTCCCTCCCACCCTGCTCTAATTCCTCATTCCTAAAAAACTCCATATTTCCCTCCCCCACCAACCCCTCCCGCCTCACCTTTTTCCAATGCTCCATCCCCCTTGCGCAATGCAACGACGTGTCGCTCCGTGCTCCGGGCTGCTAATTACCCAATTCCTGCCTCGTGCCCCTCGCCCCGTGCCCCGCCCTCCCTTCACGCACTGTCTACGGAGCTCTCCACCCCTCCTTCTCCTTCAGCTTGCAGCCCTCACAGAGAGCATTAGAGTGAGTCCAGTTTTCGAGAATCTGCAATTTGCATGCCTCACTTACAAGGCCAAGCTCACTTACACTTGGTTAAGCGTTTAAGGCATGCGGCTGTGCTTAGTTTACTCACTTTGTCGCACTCGCCTCTGCTCCTCTCTCCCCACCCCGTCTCTTTTGCTCCTGCCCACTTTGCTCACGCCTCCCTTTGCTTCCGGCCCCCTTGCTCCTGCGTCCCTCACCCCTGCCTCCCCCACCCCCTCCTCTCACTCGCCCGCACCAGGCTCACCAGCAGGTGTTGCTGGACAGGGAGCAGTTACCGTCAGCCGCCACAGATGCTGACGGGGCTGGTGCTGGTGCTGACGTGGCGTTTGGCGATGCTGACCTGGCACGCCCGGCACGGCGAGTGGCTCTCGACCTGGTTGAGATCATCGGCAAGACGCACCTGGTAGGTTCGAGAGATGCACCTGGTAGGTTCGGGATGCATCTGGTAGGTTCGGGGATGCATCTGGTAGGTTCGAGAGATGCACCTGGTAGGTTCGGGATGCATCTGGTAGGTTCGGGGATGCATCTGGTAGGTTCGGCGATGCATCTGGTAGGTTCGGGGATGCACCTGGTAAAATTTATCAGTTGATGTAGAAACTGAGGGATGCTTTTGGTAGGCACGGAAGGCACAGGGAGAAGCGTTGTGGGGGTCGAGTCAGTCAGAGTGCTGACAGAGCGCACAGAGCGTTCAAAGTATTACAAATGTTTCCCGTTCACCCCGTTCCCTGTGCCACCCCAGGACGCCCCTCGTCTGAAGGAGCTGATAGAGCCCATGGCAAAGCAAAGCGCGTGGGCAAGTGGATGCAGGACAAGGTGTCGGAAAAATACACCTCTTCGTCCCCCCGCTCTCCCTTCCCCCTTTCCCCCTTCGCCCATCAGGACGCCCCTCGGCTGAAGGAGCTGATAGAGCCCATGGCGAAGCGCGTGGGCAAGTGGGTGCAGGACAAGGTGCAGGACGCATGCCAGCCCTGCCGCCCGTGCAATTCCACCATTGTGCTCGTGGGTACGTGTGTGGAATCCCACCGTGCCACTTGTCGGTACGTGCCTCTCCACCGTAGCGCCCGTGGGTATATGAAATCTCCTCTCCCATTTCCCATCTTCCATCTCCCTTCTCTCCTCGTCTCACCTCTCGCCTCTCGCTTCTCTCTTATGTCGCCTCCCAATTCTCCTGCTTTCTTCCCTGCATTCGCACAGGCAAGCCCTGTCGGGTTAACGCCTTCCCCACTACGTGCCAAAGGAGGCTGTCCCCTGCTGAGGTGGACGATGAGGAGGACTTGGAGGGTCCGAGCGATGACAGAGTGGAGGGGGAGGGGGGAGAATCGGTGGGGGAGGGAGCAGGAAGAAGGAATTTATTGAGTTGGAATGGTGAGGATATGGAAGGCTCGGTTGATAATAGAGTAGAGGAGGAGGGGGCACAAGTGGTGGGGGAAACAGGAAGGAGGAATTTGTTGGGTTGGAATGGAGGGGATTTGGAAGGGTCGGATGACGAGAGAGTGGAGGGGGAGGGAGGGGGCAGCAATGAAGGGAGAGTAAGAGGGGAGGCAGAAAGAAGGGAGCTGGAGGAGGTGGAAGGAGGGGAGGTGCAAGAAGGGGATCCAGAGGAAGGGGAGGCAGAGGGGGGACGAGCTGGTGGGGGAAGGTCCCTTCTGCAGTGGGGGGGCTGGGGGGGGAAAGGCAAGGCGGGCAAGGGGGCAAGGGAAGGGGAGAGTGTGTGCAAGCGGGTGTCTCCCATACACGCCATCCTAGCAGCGGAGTCGGTGGCGGAGAGGAGGCGAGTGGTGAGGGAGCAGGAGGAGAGCGAGAGGAAGCGGCCGCTGTGTCGCGATGGCACTGCTCCGGGGTACTGGAAGGACTACAGCACGTGGGAGCCTCACACTTGTCGCTACAGGTCTGTCTGTATTCAGCCGGTAGGGTGAGCCGGTAAGGTGAGTTGCGATGGCACCGCTCCGGGGTACTGGAAGGACTACAGCACGTGGGAGCCTCACACTTGTCGCTACAGGTCTGTCTGTCTTCAGCCGGTAGGGTGAGCCGGTAAGGTGAGTTGCGATGGCACCGCTCCGGGGTACTGGAAGGACTACAGCACGTGGGAGCCTCACACTTGTTGCTACAGGTCTGTCAATCATTTCAGTAGGGTGAGTCTACAGGTCTGGTGCTGCTGCTACAGGTCTGGTGCTGCTGCTACAGGTCTGGTGCTGCTGCTACAGGTCTGCCAGTCCTTACAAGCGGGAGTCCTAGAATTACTAAGGTGCAGGATTACTGGAAGGACTACTACAGCACGTGGGAGCCTTACACATGCCGCTACAGCTGTGCTGCCGCTACAGGTGTGCTGCTGCTACAGGTCGGTCAGTCCTTTTGGTAGGGTGAGTTTGTAGTGTTGTGTTGCAAGTAAGAGTGTGTGCGTTCATGTCGCGGGGCTGCTAAAGACGGGACAGCACGACTTTTTGGAAGCAGAGTGGATGGGGGAGAGGAGGCGCGTTCTGAGGGAGCAGGGGGAGAGCAGCAGGGAGTAGCGGCCGCCGTGTCTGGATTGCACAGAAACAAGTGGTTGCAGTTCTTTGGGGACTCCACCACACGCACTCCCCGTGCACTCACCAGGGAGTACAGCAAGAAGGAGGTGCGGGCGTGTCTGCGCCACAAGTGGGTGCACTTCTTTGGGGATTCCACCACGCGCCACCTCACCACCAAGTTCCCCTCCCATACAGGACCACAACCACAGGCTGCCACAGGTTGCAACAACCCCGCCCACCACATGTTGCGAGACTACTGCAATCCCGCCTGCCAGAGAAAGTGCTGCAATTGGTGCTTCTGGATGGAACCATAGCCTCTGCTTTTGCCTGCATCTTCTCCCTCCCCACCCACCAGGGAGTACAGCAAGAAGGAGGTGCGGGCATGTCTGCGCTACAAGTGGGTGCATTTCTTTGGCGACTCCACCACGCGCCACCTCGCGGCCGAGTTCTCCCGCTTAGCAGGAAAATACATGAACGTTGCTGCACCTTCTCCCTCCCCTTAACTCACCAGGGAGTACAGCAAGAAGGAGGTGCGGGCGTGCCTGCGATACAAGTGGGTGCATTTCTTCGGCGACTCCACCACGCGCCACCTCGCGGCCGAGTTCTCCCGCCTCGCAGGCGTGCAGCGGCGGGCGTGGGATGTGGAGCACTTTGCAGGGGCACTGCTGCATGATGACACAGCCGTTGGTTCTTGAGAATTCACCTTGTCGTTTCTTCCTACGATTCTCCTTGCTTGCGCCTACCCCTCACCAGGGAATACACCAAGAAGGAGGTGCGCGCGTGCCTGCGCTACAAGTGGGTGCACTTTTTCGGGGATTCCACCACGCGCCACCTCGCGGCCGAGTTCTCGCGCCTAGCAGGCGTGCAGCGGCGGGCGTGGGACGCTGACAAGAACCGCACGGCGCTCATGGACACGGGCGATGGGGATGAGAACTCCCCGCTGCCGAGGATTACCTATCTCTTCCGAGGGAAGATGGCCCATCAGCGACACCCCATTGTGAGTTGGGAAGCGTGAGTCTTGTGTTTGGGGAGTGCTGGAGTGCAGCGGCGGGCGTGGGACGCAGACAAGAACCGCACGGCCCTCATGGACACGGGTGATGGGGACGAGAACTCACCGCTGCCGAGGATTACTTACCTTTTCAGAGGGAAGATGGCCCATCAACGCCACCCCATTGTGAGTTGCCCGTGAGATGCCTCAGAACAGGCGAGTGCAGTGTAGAGAGCGTGGGTGTGAGGGAGGGAGTGCAGCGGCGAGCGTGGGACGCAGACAAGAACCGCACGGCGCTCATGGACACGGGGGATGGGGACGAGAACTCTCCGCTGCCGAGGATTACTTACCTCTTCCGGGGGAAGATGGCACACCAGCGGCACCCCATCGTGAGTCAGCCTTGGGCTGCTAGCACCGCCAGGTGCAGAGCAAGCAGGCAACAAAGAGCGTGGGATGCAAACAATTACTGTATTTCCCTCATGGATACAGGGGATGACTTTTGAGACGTCTCTAAAGTCGTTTTGAGGCGCCTCAAAAAGCGTGGGATGCGGACAAGTACTGGATTGCCCTCATGGATACAGGGAATGACGGTTACAGCTCGCCGTTGCTGCTTCTCGAGGCGAGACCCCAAGGCACGTCAGCCGGTCACCATGGTCATGAGCACTGGGGCGCACAAGGTGATCGGATGCCCCTTCTTCCTTCTCCCGCTGCCCCTTCTCCCCCTTCCATTCTCTCCCGTATTAGGCCGGGGTGCCCCCTGAAAGAGATCTGAACAACGACTTTCTCGAGGCGTTCAGAGACCCCAAGGCAAAGCAGCCAGACACCATGGTAAAGAGTGTGGGGGCACACGAGGTGATGGGATGCCCCCCACTTCTTATGCCACCCTCCCACCCCCCGCCCCCTCTCCTCCCCCCATATCAGGCCGGGGTGCCTCCAGAGAGGGACCTGAACAACGACTTTCTCGAAGCTTTCCGAGACCCCAAGGCGAAGCAGCCGGACACCATGGTGATGAGCATCGGAGCACACGAGGTGATCGGGTGGACGAGGCGGCCCCCGCCGGACCTGGACTTGCGCACGTTCAAGCGCGACACGGAGGAGGCCATTGCGCTGCTCAATGGCACCTTTACACGTGGACGGCTGGTGTGGTGGAAAGCCCACTACATCTGGCCAGGTGAGGGTTGAGGCACAGGACATGTGGCAAGTTGATGCAAATCTCTTGAAAGGAGGAGTTTGTGCCGCATCATGGCACCTTCACAGTGGCCGCTTCGTGTGGTGGAAGGCCCACTACATCTGTAGTGGGAGGCCATCAGGTGGGGATTGAGGCACACTGTATGTGGTCAGGTAATACTCAACGCGCACGGTATGATGACAGTTGTGGTCGTAAATGCCTACAATCTTCCAGATTGGTGCTTGCATGGGCCTCAGATGTTTTTCCTTTTATTTTTCACTACTTTTTCTGTTCACTCCTTTTTTTGTTCAGGGAAAGTTACAGGCCAGGATTACTTCACTGTGCGCACTTTCCACGAGCTCTACCAAGCATATGCGTTCAGGCGCATGGCACAACAAGGGTACACCATGATGGATCTGTACCAGACGACCAAGGACAGATACGACCAAGTCTTTAGAGGGGATGGCGCACATTATGTCGGCCTGTGCTTGAAGCTTCATGTTCAAATTCTGGCCAATACCCTTTGCAACCATTTGCACAAGTCATAGTTAGCTACTTGTATACCACTTACTGCAGTAGGTAGAGTCTTTAGTTATATACTAATATATTCTTGCTAGTCACTTCGTGACGAGACGAGTAACCCGGTCGTCATGGAGCACCTCAAGCAGCATTTTGCCCATTCGCTGAAAATGTCTGGTCGCCAAGATATCGACTATTTCGCAGAAACGACCTCTCGCGAAGAACCATTGCTTTCGCACCAGTCCTTGACAGCAGTCAAGGTTGTCGTCATGGCTTGATAACCTTCGCTCATGTAGCATCTTCGCCTGATCACGCCAAAAAATCCGTCTCGCCATTCTTGCTCCCTCAGTCACGCTAATACTGTAAACACTCACTCGAAATATCCGCCCCCCCCCCCCCCCCGTCTTCTTGGAATACCACTCTACAGAATTTCACCATTCACCTTCCTTCACTTATGTGCTTGCTTGTGGAGTTCTACTGACCTGCAGAAAGCAGAGCAGAGCACCTTGGTTTTGCCGGTAGCTGTGGCAAGCTGCTGGCTCTTCAGGTTTTACGCCATGCTTTCTGATACTTGATTCCTCTGTGCAAGCGTGCTAGCGATGTCTTTTGTAGGTTGAAACAGGCGAAAGGGAAAACCATCCTGGTAGCCAGCTGAATCCGTATTTTGCTGACTTCTGTTTCGGTAATAAACCGAGCCTGCCTTGTACGAAGAAAAGGAACCGTCACAGTTTAAATGGTAAGCACTCGACTCAACGTGTCTGCTTTGCTGCATTGTCTGTTATCATTTCTGAGGCACCTCAAAATAGACTCTGTCATGGCACTGTCATCGCCGAGAAAGGCTCGCGTTTCACGTGTTTGGCTCTTTGCCATTTCTATAACCTTTTCCACACTACGCGTGTCATTTTCGGCTCTATTTTCAGTTCCTTTTAAAATCGTGTTTTCGGGATTTTTTTTCCCTCTATTTATTCTGTTCCGTTTCAAATCTCCTCAGGCATCCCCCCTCCTCCATCTCTACCACAGCATTCATTCCCTCCCCTTTCCCCCCTGTCCTCCGTTTATCGCTTTATCCCCTTTAGGCGGACTCTCCTCCCGCGGATGTGACAGACGCTTACCACAGCAGCGCGAGCGCCGAAATTGCGGGTCGTACGCACCACAAGGAGCGGAAGGAGCGAAAAGAGCATAAGGAGCGAAAAGAGCATAAGGAGCGGAAGGAGCGAGAGGAAGGGAGTGACGGGTCGGAGGGAAAGCACCGGGAGGAGCGGAAGGAGAGAAAGCACGGAAAGGAAGATGGAAAGGATGAGCCGGAGGAGAGAGAGAGGCGAGTGGAAAATGGTAAGGGGAGGCTGGAAATCGATGTGTCACACGCGGAAGGGGAGGAGGAGAGGGAGAAGAGGGAGCGTAAAGAGAGGAAGGAGAGAAAAGAGAGGAAGGAAAGGAAGGAGAGGAAGGAGGGGGAAGATAGAAAGGAGAAAAAGGAGAGGAAGGAAAAGAAAGAGAGGAAGGAAAGGAAGGCTCTGACACCCAGAGCAGGGGATTTACTTAGCCAGAGAGGAGAAGGGTTTCAAGTTCCTGCTGGTGAGCTGAGGAGGACCAGGAGTGGGGAAGAGCAAGTGGACAGGGTGGGGGGGGAGCAAGAGGAGCGAAAGGAGAGGAAGGAGAGGAAAGAGAAGAAAGAGAGGAAGGAAAGGAAGGCACTGACGCCCAGAGCAGGGGATTTACTTAGCCAGAGAGGAGAAGGGTTTCAGGTTCCTGCTGGTGAGCTTAGGAGGACCAGAAGTGGGGAATCGCACCTGGATAAGTTGGTGGAGGAGCAGGAGGAGCGGAAGGGGAAGAAGGAAAAGGAGAAGGAGAAGCAGAAGGACAGGGAGAGGGAGAAGGAGAAGGGGAGGAGGGAAGAAAAGGGGAGTGAAGTGGAGGGAACAAACGAGAGAAGAGGGAGAGAGAATGGTGAGTTGGAGGGAGCGAATGGAGGGATGGAGGGGGCGAGTGGAGGGATTGGAGGAGCGAGCAGGGGTGTGGGGAATCCGTACGGTGTTGCAGGGGCAGTGGGGGCAGCAACAGGGGCAGCAGGGGCAGCAAAGGAGCTTCCTGCTTTCCAGTCGAACGGTGAGGGTGGATTGGAGGAGAGAGAGAGGAGAATTAGCGAGCTGGAGGATGGGAAAGCGGCTCTGGAGTGCAAGAGAGCGCGGGTGCAGGAGGAGGGGCGGCGAGCAGAGGCAGAGATGCAGCGGTTGGTGGAACAGAAGGAGCGTCTGGAAAGTGCCAAGGCACGGCTAGAAGCGGAGAAAGTACAAGTGGAGAGGGAGAAAGAGCAGCTGGAGAAGGAGAAGAGGCAGTTTGAGGGGGAGAAATCGCGAGTGGAAGATGAGAAGCGGCAAGCTGAGGAGGTGAAGCAGAGATTGCAAGAGGAGATGAGGCGAGCGGAGGAGGAGAAGAGGCAGTGGGAGGAGGAGAGGCAGCGACTGGAGGAGGAGGTGGAGTATTTATCTCAGGAGCTGGAAACAGAGCAGGAGATCGCAGCAGAGGCTGCTGAGATGGCGCAGCGGGATTGGGCGGCGCGGCAGGAGGCGCTCCGCCAGCTGGCGGAGGTGGAGCGTGAGCTGGCGATGGAGGCGAGCGAGGCTGACGTGGCAGCAGCTGCAGTGAGAGAAGCAGCAGGAGCAGGAGTTTCTGAGGGAGTGACGATTTCTCTGAATCAGAACGGATCATTTGATGCTGACGCTGCCGATTTGGCCTCTTCCGTTCGATCTCTCTCATTCAGGGCTCAGGCCACTGAAGCCGGTAGCATTCTTGAGCCTCCTCAACATTCATCACTCGCAGCACAGGCTACTGAAACTGACAGTAAACTAGGAAAGGGAGAAGCAAGCATGGATGGACCTGCAGCTGACTCTGACCCTTCAGACCCCTCAGACAGTGCTTCAGGCTTCACTGGTTTCGATTTGAAACCATCTGAACCAGGCCCTGGGCCAGCACCGCACTTGACCGCTTTCCCAACCTCTCAATCGCTCTCTGCTGCCGCATACGCTGCAGAGCGATATCAGAACCCAAGCTCTCACCATCCCAGGCGTGTAGGCTCGGCAGCGCCGAAGCTGGACGTGCTGGCTCGGATCCGATCCGCCACGTTCGTCCTCCGCAACAGCAGCAGCCTCTCAAACACCCCTCTGGCAACCACCCCTTTGGCCTCCCCTGGGTGCTCGGCCAAATTTCCTGGGTTTTCCCAAGCAGCAGCAATGGCAGAAGCAGCAGCAGCAGCAGCAGCAGGAGCAGCAGGAGCAGCAGATGCAGCAGCACAGGTGGCATGTGGTAAGGCTGACCACCCGTCCACGGTGGAAGAGACAGGGGACGACGTTGAGGTGTCGCCTCTGTGCGTGCTGCTGCAGCAGCAGCTTCGCCATCACCAGCAGCAGATGGAGTGTGCTGCTGATGCGGCTGCTGCCGCCGCTGCTGCTGCTGATGCTGCAACTCCTGACAAAACTTCCACTGCTGCCGCTGCTGCCACTGCTGCTGCTGCTGCTGCTGTTGCCTCAGATGTGGAAATCCCGGCAGCTGGCGTTGAGGCAAGTCCGGAAGAGAGAGGGAGGGAGGCTAGAAGAAGAACCTCGTTCCCCAGGCAAGCAAGCAGAACGGCGTACATGGGCCGACAGGCGAGTGGCCTCACAGCAGCAGCAGCAGTTGTAGCAGGTACAAATTCGGAACAATCCCGCTCAGGGCAAGCCACAGCAAGGCACGGTGCTCGGCCTCCCCTGTGCCGGCGCTGCTACACAGGCATCAATACCTCCTCCCTGCGCCAAGCCTCCTCTCCTTTCTCCTCTACTGCCATTCCCCTCTCTCCCTCGTCCGATGCGGTCTTGTCCGGAGGGGGGATAGTGAGGGGAGAGGACGCGTTTGAGTACTGCGGGAGGCAGAGCAAGGCGTGGAGAGCGGTGCACTGCGGTGGCTTTGTGCACGTGATGCTGCAGCTGTCGCTGGTCGGCGTGAATCGGCTGGAGGATTGTGTTGCGAGAGCAGAGGCGGCACGGGCGGCGAAAGAGACAACTGCAGCAGGGGCAGCCGAAGCAGAAGCAGCAGGGAAGGATCTAGAAGTGTGTGCTCATGGTGATGGGGCTTCTGGGACTTCTGCGTCAGGCGCCTCTGCTCCTGCCTCTGCCGGTGTGTCTACTGGCTCTGGTCTGCTCGCAATGCTCTCATTGAGTCGACTGTTCCAGCATGTTGCAGCCGCTGCAGCCACAGCAGCAGCTGCAGCAACACCTGGCACACCAAGCACAGCCGGCACAGCGGGCAGCATTGCTGAGGAAGGGACAGAGCTCATAGATTTCAGTAGTGGCGAAATATCACTGAGCAACCGCACTACCACTGGCAGCAAAAGCAGCAGTGGCAACATTAGCGGCGATGTAAGCAAGGCTCGGCAGGAGGCTCGAGAGCAGGCTCGGGAGCAGGCTCGGAAGCAGGCTTGGGAGCAGGCTCGGAAGCAGGCTGTGGAGCTGTACGTGCTACAGCTACAGACGGAAGCCCTGAGGGCTACAGCCGGAGTGCTGAGGGAAGAGGCTGGTGTGGAATGGAGGACTGTGAGACGACTGACAATGGAAAAAGGAGATGTTGAAGAGAGGGTGGCTGGGTTAGAAGCCACTCTCGTTCTATTCACAAAAGACACGGAAAAAGGAGACTCGGTCGGAATGGAGATGGTTGGAAAGGACTCGGTCGATGATGATGCCTTTGCTGGAAATACTCAAGTCAAAGAAGAAGGGACATGGGGGGGAGAGGAAGGAGAGGGCATGGTTGGGGAAGAGACAGGGGCACAGAAGGAAGGGGAGCAGGAGGAGGGAGAGGGTGTGGTTGGGGAGGAGAGAGGGGCGAGAAGGGGGGAGAAGCAGGAGGAGCAGGAGGAGGGAGGGAACGTGATTGGGGAAGAGAATGGGGCGAATGGAGTGGGGGAGCGGGAGGAGGAGGAGCAATTTCAGCAGGTGTCTCGAAATGTTCTCTTCTCGGCCATTGCGGATGCTTGGAAGCAGGCCGAAGCGCTTGACCAGGTGGGTGGGTCAACGCAAGTCAACGTACTTTGTGAGTGTGGGGGAGCGGGAGGAGGAGAGATTTCAGCAGGTGTCTCCAGATGTTCTCTTCTCAGCTATTGCGGATGCTTGGAAGCAGGCCGAAGCGCTTGACCAGGTGAGTCACCGCAAGTCACGGCACGGAGCTTGACCAGGTGAGTCAACGCAAGTCACGGAGCTTGACCAGGTGAGTCAACGCAATTCAACGTGCTTGACCAGGTGGGTCAACGCAAGTCAACGTTTCATTCTGCCTTCCTTATCAAATCGAATCTCCTTGTCTCTACTTAGCTCTCCTCCCCACCCCCCTCCTCCCGCGTCCCCATTGTATCCGCTGCCCTTCCTTCTCCACAGGCTATTCTTGCCAGCTGGCAGGCAAAACCACGCCCGCTTCCCCACTGCTCATATTCTTCCCCAACCACCCTTTCCCTCCACAGGCTATTGTGTTTTTTTTAATTATCAAAAACCAGCTTGCCAGCTGGCAGGCAAAACCACACCCGCTTCCCCACCCACTTTGGCTCATTCTTTTCCCCAACCACACCCTTTCCCTCCACAGGCTATTCTTGCCAGCTGGCAGGCAAAAGAGGAGAAGGAGAGGGAGATCGACATGGTGCTCCAACAGCTGAGCGATGTCGAGACAAGAATCGCCGCCCTCCAGGCCACGGATGGTACCATCATCGGCTCTCTTTCTGTGAGTGTGCTATTTTGTTACAATGCTGTGCTGCTTCACGCTTTTACGATTATCGTAAATAAACAACTTTAGCTTGCTTGCTTGGCATGGCATTGTTCTGGATTTTCATGCCTTCGCTTCCTTGTCTGCTACGATTCCCTTTTCTTCAGGGAAAGTGGGACCTCGTTTCCTCGATGGCGCCTCTCCTAGCAATGGTGCTACCAGGGTACGTCGGCGGCGCTGCACCAACTCGCTCGCTTACACTGCCGGTAAAATTACATCATGATAGCCCCTCAAATAACACAATTGACTTGAAATGGCGCAGTACCAGCAGCGCTGCAGCGAGTCAATGAAAGTGAACACTTGCTGCAAGGCGCGTATGGTTTGTTTGTGGTTGTGCTATTTAAGGCGGTTGGGTTGGGTTATGTGTTCACATGACTCTGCAGCACCTTGATCTAAGGGGTTGATTCTATCACAGCTACAGGGATCACCTATTTTATGCCCAGTTACTGATTCTAACCTTATTTGTACCATACCATGTATGATATGCCAGACTCTTTGTTATTGCCCTGCTTTTGATTTGAGTAAACCATGCGATTCTGGACTCCTGGTGTTCTGGAAGATCGGTTGTTTTAGATGCACTGTTTTTGCTAGAAGGGAGTCTGTATTGCAGTTTTAGGTACGCAAGTAAAAAAGTGTAGAGGATACTCTTGTAGTTCGTCAGTATCGGAGTATGGTGGTCTGTTCTTCCGTGTTCTCCTGTGCCTGGGGGGGTGCATCTCCCATTACTCGGTGATGCCACCTGGAGCTTGTCCACGGTGGATACACCTCCAAGAACGGAGTGCGTGCACCATTTCCCTTTCCTTTGTAGGTCTCCCACATCCACCACCACAAGTTCCTTCCCACAAATTTCCTTCCACGTCAGTCATCCGCATCAGCCTTGAGATCTTCTTCCTGGCCTTGGAGATGAGCACCTCACGTCAGCAAATGTCTGGATGTCTGAATTCAGTACTCAGCAATGCTCCCAAGGACGATTCTCGGATTTTGGAATTGAACCTCCTAGAGAACTCCCCCAGAACTCCCCCAGGACTCCCTCACTTCATCAGTCTCACAATTTCACGTAACGTTTTGTCACTTCATCGGCTCGTCTTAGAGTCTTAGCTGCTTGTGCGTGCCAGGAGTTTCTTTCCGTACTAGGCTCGTGCTGTGCTGTACATTTCCTTCCGAAAGCACCTGTGCAGCAGTTAACAATCAGCCAGCCATGATGCGTAAAGGAGCCCTCCGTGTTCTGGCCGCCGCCATGGCCAGGCATTCAGCAGTCTCAGCCGGTGTTCCGGCACCTCTAGGAGCCTCCCTGACTCCTGCCGTCGGAATCATCCCTCAAATCCTCCACCGAGGGTTCGCCAGTGATGAGAACCTGAAACGCACCCCCTTGTACGACTTCCACGTGGCGGAAGGCGGGAAAATGGTTCCCTTCGCCGGATACAGCATGCCGATCCAGTACAAGGACAGCATTATCGATTCCACCATTAATTGCCGGACCAACGGAAGCCTGTTCGACGTCTCCCACATGTGCGGGCTTAGTCTGAAGGGCAAGGATGTAATTCCATTCCTTGAGACGCTCGTGGTTGGGGACATTGCTGCCCTTAAGGATGGCACTGGCACCCTGTCGGTTTTCACGAACGAGAAGGGTGGAATCATCGACGACACTGTTATCACTCGGGTTACCCCTTCGCACATCTATCTCGTCGTCAACGCCGGCTGCCGCGAGAAAGATTTGAGTGAGTGATTTTTCGGGGATGGTTATGCATGATCAATGTCCCAATGTCACAGTTACCGTCCAGTTAATCTTCACTCGCAATACTAAGTCGGAAGACAGTGACTACAAGGAGTCCAGGTCACTGGTTCAGCAATGGCGGCTACTCTCGAACCTCCGCTCAGACGTTCATCCTATCCCTTGCGAATATTGTTCTGCACCCGTGACCCACAGACCACATCGGAGCTCATCTGGAGGCCTACAAGGCTACCGGCAAGGACGTTTCGTGGCAGATTCACGACGACCGCGCGCTGCTGGCGCTACAGGGCCCTCTCGCGGCGTCCTCGCTGCAGCCGCTCGTGTCGACGGACCTCTCCAAGATGTCCTTCAGCGATTTCACCATGCTCAAGATCGACGGCCACGATTGCTTCCTCACCCGTACGGGGTAAGTCAAGCAGTTTCTCCCTTTCTGCGCCCATTTTCTGCTTTGCATGGATTCTATTTCCTGTCTGCCTTTACTCTGTCGGGATGAATCTGGACGGTGCTTCGAAAACTACCAACGGCTTAATTCTATCGGCGGGAGCCATGCTCACGATGCGGAAGATTTGGCAGTATTACATGCTCTAGCCTTGTCACGGTTAAATCTAGATAACGCGTGCCTTCTCTTGCTTCGGTGAAAAGGTCTGACTCATGCTGGTCAACTATTATCGTAACACGAATGCAATTCCTCACTCTTATTTCCCCTCTACCCACTTCCAGCTACACTGGAGAGGACGGGTTTGAAATTTCCGTGCCTAATGAGAACGCACTGGCACTTGCCAAGAAGCTTCTCGAGGTGAGCGAGGGGAAGGTGAGGCTCACTGGTCTTGGCGCCCGCGACTCGCTCCGCCTGGAAGCCGGACTCTGCCTGTACGGCAACGATCTAACAGAGGAAATCACCCCGGTGGAAGGCGCGCTTGCATGGACAATCGCGAAGAGACGGCGGGCAGAGGGAGGATTCATTGGAGCTGACGTGATTTTGAAGCAGCTGGCGGATGGGCCTGCAAGGAGGAGAGTGGGTTTGACGTCTACTGGAGCCCCTGCTAGGAGCCATGTAGAGATTTTGGATGAGGGGAATGTGGTCGGGGAGGTGACCAGTGGAGGGTTCAGTCCGTGCCTGAAGAAGAACATTGCGATGGGGTATGTGAAGAATGGGCTGCACAAGGCGGGTACGGAGCTGAAGGTGAATGTGAGGGGGAAGGTGAATGATGCTGTGATTGCCAAGATGCCGTTTGTTCCCACCAAATATTACAAGGCGTGAGTACATGTTGTGACACTTTGAATTTTGAATCATTTTTATATTAATCGCCTAATCTGGACGGAAAATGTGGTTTGTGTGATCACAACAACTTAAGATATATGAATGTGTAGTAGGGTATACAAATATTATTTGGTTATACGCATCTCATTGTGAACCAGTTCCATAACTAACTGCTCAATATCGACCTGCTCAGGCTGCCCATCGAAATGCAGGTTTCTTGACCAAGATATGCTACACATTTGCAATTGCAGCAATTGGCTAGCCTTCCAAAGTCATGGGACATGGATGGAGATGCTGCCTCCTCATCCGACCATCATTAATCTGCAAATGGAATCTTGTTCTTTCCGTAAACAGCGGATGCGCGCATCCGAAGGTATTCACCCGCTCTCAAAGAGGAAAACAGATGTGTATTCACCCGCTCCAACCCCATGATGGACACTGAAATAGATCTGAGTGGTACTCGTCACTACTGCTGAATGTAAACGTCCAAACGGACAATTTACAAGGAAAGGCGAAACTGGATTCTGAAATAGCTGTTTCCACCGTCAGACGCTTACAAAAAGAGTGGCTGGACTTGAAAACAGCCCTTTTTTTTGGTCCGTGTGGACTTGAAACGAGAAGAATCGAGTGGACGAAGCTTCAGATCCAATCCACACGCAGTTGGTGAAAACAGGTGAATACATCTGGACTCACGTAATTAATTATGCGCAGCACTATGTGTGGACGGATCTGGTTCTGGTAAAGACTGAGCTGAAACCCCAGCCACAACCACAACATCCATAGCTGTCACAACAATCCGACACACGTCATCCACCAACTCCAGCATCTCGTTCGGTTCTCCCTGCCCACAGTTTTTTTCACAGTGTGTCTTTTATGTCAGCTCTTTTATTTCATCAGCCCTCCGCGACACCATCAATCATCCACCCGGCCCCCTCAAATTCGACTGCCACACGACCACCGTCCAGATACTGCGCGCCAAAAAATCAGCGTCTGTCTTTTCCTGCTGCACCTCCTAACCTCCAATTTTGGCAGAAATCTTGCCGCTTGAGGAGCTGCTGCGTGGCCGAAAACACAGGAGCATCGTGAACCACTTCTTGATGTCCACGTGTGACACGCGATGCGCGATGCGGAGGTTGCTCATCGCACACCAATCCCAATGCCCTCCTAGAAGTTGTCACACCACAAAATTGTTCATTTCGTTTTCATCTTCCCGATTCGTAGCACCACACGGAACGGAACACCTTGGGGGTTTCGTCAATTCTGCCTGTGTGGCTGCCAGTTGCATGCAGCAGCAGGTCATTGGACCTGGTAACTACAGCGGCGAGCCCCTGTTTTGCAGCAACACTTCGACTCTTCATCCCAGCCTAGTCTAGTCTCTGCTGCTCCTTGCTCCTCTCGTGGCCAGAATTCAGGGTTGAAATTTCAAATGTTTGCTCATTGCCAGCACCAACCTTGGAGCACTAACAGGGAAAACGGAAGTTCCACGACGCCGTGGCCAACGATTGTTGTAGACGTTCCTGACCGCTCTCTCGTCTATGGAACCTTTCCTTGAACAATCAGGGTAACCATTGGTTATCCTCGCGTCTACACATCTATCAGCTTCACGTTGTCCGTCAAACACACGCGTTCCGTCGGCTATCCGATGCGCACGTACCACTGACTCGTTTCCTCCGAAACTCAGCGTCCCTTTCCCAGGTAGTTAACCCGCTAGGACCTTAGTTTCCACACCCCGCCATGGTCTCTCCAGATCCTTCGTCAGATGGCGAAAAGCGAACCAAAGAAAAAGAGGATGGTGCGGCTCCCGTTCAGAATTTCCGTATTTTCGGCGTTAGCTTAGCGCAGCCGCCGTTGAACTCCCCTCCACAGCCGGCCGGGCCCGTAGCATTCACGCCGCCGTCAATTCCGCTCCGCACGTCCTCCCCCCCGGATGGCATGCGCAAGTGCGCAAGCACGAGCGCGCTGGCGGATCTCAGCCGCCGCCGCAATTTTGTATCCCCTGGCGGAGGCGCGGGCGCAGGCGCGCGCTTGCGGCTTCCGCTGTTCCGACCGGGCGAGGGTAGCGTGGGGAACAGTATGGACGAGGATAGCGCAGCTGAAGATGATGCGGAGGCGGAGGAAGCGGAGGAGGAAGGGGACGCAGGGGGGAAAACGGGGCGTGAATCCCGCGCGTCTCGTGGAGGCGCGCGGCAACGGCCGGCAGGAGACCCCGAGTCTTCCGCCGGCAGCGCCGGCGGCAGCGCAAGGGAGCGGGGCGAACTAGGCGGAGGCGGCGGGGAAGGAGCGCGACAGGCGGCGGTAGCGGCGCGCAGCGAGGGATCGAATTGCACGCCGCAACCCGCGGGAAGTGAAGTCGCGAACGCGCCGATGAGCGGGCGGGGGGGCGGGGTTGGCGGAAGGTTTGACGGAGGGCGGGGCGGAGGCGGAGGCGGAGGCGGCGGAGGCGGGGGGCACATGGGCGGAATATCGTCGTCGAGGGAGCGGAAGAAAGGGATCGCGTGGACGGAGGAGGAGCATCGGCTGTTCCTGATTGGTCTGAGCAAGCTGGGGAAAGGCGACTGGCGGGGGATCTCGCGCAACTACGTGACGACGCGCACGCCCACGCAGGTGGCGAGCCACGCGCAGAAGTACTTCATCCGCCAGAGCAACCTGAACAAGCGCAAGCGGCGGTCGAGCCTGTTCGATATAAGCACAGACGTGGTACGTGATTGGGTAATGGGGTGTGCTCGTTCTTCCAAAATGAGTCCCATCGCTGTTAAAACTTACTGCTCGTTTTCATTCCCCTCGCTGCGCCATTCCGCGTCTCCTTCGTGTCTCGATCCATGCGCACGCCGCTTCTCCCGTCGCTCACCTCTCTCCCCCCTCCCTGCGCCCCATTTCCCCCATCTCCCCCATCCTCCCCTCCCGCCTACCCCCCCGCTACAGCTAGCGGAGGAAGCGGCGGGCGCAACGGTCATGTCTCGATCCATGAGCACGCCGTCTCTCCCGTCTCTCCGCGACGATCCCAAGTTTCTCCCCTCTGGAGCTTCCGGCGGACTCACCGCCGTCTCTTCCGCCGCCGCCATCTCCGCGCTTTCCCCCTCCGCCTCCGCGCTCGCCTCCCCGCAATCGTTCTCCCACCACGCTTCCCCCCATCACGCGCTACATCAGGCGCTTCCGCATGCGCGCGCATTTTCCCGCCCGTACCAGCTCCCCAACACCGCGCAAACCCTCCCCCCGCCCTCCTACAACCCGCACTCTTCCTCCGCCCATCCCTTCGCCTCCGCCTCCTCCCCTTCCGCGCATCCTTCCCCGCATCCCTTCGCCCCTTCCGCTTCCGCGCACGGTTTTTTCGATATGAGCCGTTGCCAGTCGTACCCCGCAGTTCACATGCTCGAAAGCGCAAACCCTTACGATAATCCCGCCCTTTCCGCCGCCTCCGCCGCCGCCGCCGCCGCTCGTGGCGGCGCACTTTCCGCCTCGCTGACGCCGCTCACGCGACCTATGTCCTTGCCCTCCCTTCACCCTGCCTCCATCCCGGAGTCTTCCGCCGTTCCTCCGGTCGATCTAGGCCCCGCGCATTACCTCCCTTCCGCGCATGGCTTTTCCGCGCATCCGCACTCGCAGCCCCCCCAGTGGCATCTGCTCCCCTCATCGTCCTCCAACCCCTCCGCCGCCTCCGCCGCCGCGGCGAGGGCGACTGGGCGCGGGCCGATGACGCTCGACTGGTCGATGTGCGCCGGTGGCGCTGCAGGCGCTGGGAGTTCCGCCTCCGCGGCGGCATTGGCGCGCCAGGGGGGGGACACGAGCATGGGTGGTGTGCCAGGGGTGGGGTGCGCGGGCTTGGGCGCGGGCGCGGGGGCGGGCGCGGGGCTCGGCGCGCTTGCAGATGCGGCAGCTGCGCGGCACAGGATTGGGCATGAGATGATGATGCAGATGGGGCACGAAGCGACGGTCCAGATCGGCCATGAGCTGGCGCAACGAATGGCCAGGATGAGCCAGGCTGCGGAGAGAGCAGCCGCGGATGGGGGCGGCCCAATGCTGCTGGGGGGGAGCAGCAACGTGGAGAAAAGGACTAAACTAGAGAGTGGCATGGGCTTTCCTAGCAGTGCTGGTGCCGTGGGTGGCGGAAATGCTGCTGCTTCTGGTGCGAATAGTGTTGGTGGTGGTGGTGGTGCTGCTGCTGCTGCTGCTGCCGCTGCCGCTGCCGCTGCCGCTGCCGCTGCGGGTACAGCAGCTGGTGGTGGCTCTGCTTTCTCTCCATTCCGATCCGGAATGCCTGGTTCTGCTGCTGCCGCTGCTGCTGCCGGTGCTGCACCAGCAGCATATCTCTCCACTTCTCCACCCTCCACCTACCCGTACGGTCCCCTCTCGTCCTCTCCCCCCACCGGTTACCCCTCCAACTACCCGTACTCCTCCTTCCTCTGGCCTAGAACCACGTCGCACTTCCCGTCTCCTGCCTCTGCTGCTGCCGCGGCTGCAGCAGCAGCAGCACAGCAAGCAGCCTTCTCTGCTTCTACCCCTGCCTCTGTCTCTGCCTCTGTGCCTGCTACGGGTGCTGCTGCTGCTGCTACTGGCCCGTGGCATGTGTCTGGTGGGCAGGTAATACCTGCCCAGGAAAGCCTTTCCCAGCCGCCTCTGGTGCCGAATGCTTCTTCTGGTTCGATTGCTGCTGCTGGTGGTGTTCCTGGTGGTGCTGCTGCTGCTGGTGGGGTTGCTTCCGCTGCTGGTGGTGCTGCTACTGCTGATAACCGCTCTGTACCCACCACTACCCTGCAGCTTTTTGACACGAGTCCCAAGGATCTAGCTATGGAGGTGAAACGGCCTTCGGCAGTGGCTGCTGCCACTGCAGCAGCATCTGTTGCTGTGACGGCAGCAGCCAGACTTGCTGCGTCTGCCTCCCCTGAACCTACTAGTGATGTGAAGGCACCAATAAGTGTGCAATGATAAGGGTTAAGTTGGTGCCGAATTTGACATTTTATCATATAGGCTATTGAACCACATGCATTCACTGTTTTGTGTTGTGCAACTGCTTTTGGCAGAAACTGTGGTTGCTATTTGGGAAAGTATGCCAATGGTAATATACATGGGGCTCTTTAACGCGCACAGTAACTATTACAGTACATTTTCACGCGTTTGGTAACTCGTTTCACGCAATTGGTAACTTAGCAGAGGCGAATGATCACGCGAATGGTAACTAGATGAAACTCCCGCCGAAATGATCCTGACTAAGAGGAATTTGTTAAATTTAAAGATTTCACGGACCGTTTTATCGATATTGAACGATTCCCGCCGTGACTTTGAAGGATTGCGTTTGTTCAATTACCACGGACCGAATAGTTTCAGAGTAGTTTCATATCTATTTTAAGCTCGGAAATATAGTACTAACAAGTGCAATTATATTTTTGCAAGCATGATTGCATAATTTCAAAATGGGGAAATTTTCCCGGAAAAGCGACAATCATTTTATTTAAAAAAATGTGTAATTAATGCAACGTGGGATAATTTTGGAGGTGGGAAAATAATACCCTTCCGAATGGCTTGCCTTTATTGTAGAAATAACCTTGAACGCCTTGTCGCAAGGAGTTTATGGTTGATGCTCTCAAAATCACTTGCCATCCGAAAGGGGTATATATTTTTTGCCCCGCTTGTACGATAGAACTAAGTAAAATCAATTTTCCGCGAGCGCCAGAATATCCACATTATATTATAAACGGTTTTCCAAACAGCAACTTGTTTGCGAAATAGTCCGAATTTCGGAAAGTGTGTCAGAATTTCGGAAAGTGTGTCAGAATTTCGTGCTTCAGGACTCGTCAATTCAGTCTGGCGCGAGCGGGAAAAACCAGAATCAGGGTCAAGTTTGACGAGGGTTTCTTCTAGTTACCATTCGCGTGATGGCTTGCCAGTATATAGTTACCAAATGCGTGAATCGAGTTACCAAACGCGTGAAAATTCATTGTTATGGATACCGTACGTGTTATAGAGCCCCATGTATGTTACCATTCGCATATTTTCCCTTGCTATTTAGTATCGTGCTTTTTTTTGCATGGATATAACTTACATTGTTTTCCCCGTATTCTCCTGTTAACATGCCGACGTCTTGCCGAGGTCTTCAATGGCGAAGTTGTCGCCCCAACCCAGCAGAGATGTCGCTGTCATTTTTGAATTTGCATCTCAAGAACATGTAGGTAGGAGGCGTGGCGATGACGCAGATGAAAGTCGTCGTTACTGACCCGAATCCATTCGTTCTCGAGCCTGCTTGGTACACTTCTGGTTCTTTAGTTCTTCTTTCATTGGTCAAGGATCTTTTAATGAGTAGATTCAAATTAGAAGGCGACAATGCGTGCGAAAGAGGAAAGGTTGCCTTGGATATGGTCCGTCGTTGCTTATCGCGATTGATGAATCATGGACGTTGATTCCGTGGTTCAGCTGTACCTTCAGAACCGTTAAGTAACCGTACGAGCTATAGAACGTTGAGGAGACGGAACGTTGAGCAATGGACGTTGAGTCAGCGGTGGCTCCGCTTCATGATCAGGAGGAACGGACGTCCATTGAGGTCCAGACGATCCAGGATCTGCGGTCTCAGTTTCCGCTGTGGAAACAGAAGCTAGAGTAAGTGAGTGAGTCTCGCGGATGATGAATCATGGACATTGCTCTGCGGGTTCAGTTCCCGCTTTGGAGACAGCAGCTAGAGTGAGTGAGTGTGTCCGGATTTCGTTTGTCATGCGACGACATTTCGCGTAACCATTGTCTGCTCTGCATTTCATTCGTTCCACTCGTTCCTTCGTCCACGTGCGGTATGTCTTCTGATGACGATGTCATCATCTTAATCACATAATGCGGTCATGCTTTTAGATTGTCCTATTTCGATGTTCCTGGTAAGATCCTGATGAGATCGTTGGGTCCGAAATTCGAGACTTTGAGATCGTTGGGTGTTTCTGAGATTCTTTTGTAGAGTAGTCTGGTATAGAACCACCGAGCCACAGAAGCACGACCTTACCAAGCAACGGCTGTGATTGTCCCATCGGATTGTGTCGTTTCAGGGACGGATTCTCGCTCCTGTTCTTTGGCCTCGGCTCCAAGCACGGCCTGCTCACCGCATTCGCATCAGAGAGCCTAGCGGACAAGACAGTCGTCATAATCAATGGCGCCGATGCCAACACCACGCCTGCACGGGTAGGTGCCAACTCCACCAATCCTTACCCTTAGATCTTGGCTCCAAGCACGCCCTGCTCACTGAATTCGCGTCAGAGTGCCTAGCAGTCGTCACCATCAATGGCGCCGATGCCAACACCACGCCTGCACGGGTAAGTGGCAAATTCGCCTGTCATTCTCCTCTGATCTTGGCTCCAAGCACGCCCGCTCACACTCGCTCTTGATCTATGGGGCTCGGCTCCAAGCACGCCCATAGACGCTCGGCAGTGATGGTGATGGCTGTCTCGTCCGCTAGGCTCACCGCGTTCACATCGGAGAGCCTAGCGGACAAGACAGCCGTCACCATCACTGGTGCCGAACATCACCCCTGCATGGGTAAGTCCCGTAGTCCACCAGTCAATATTCTTACATCCTGGCTTCAATCACACCCGCTCGCCCACCCACCCCTCTCCTTGCTCTGCTCACAGTGTTCCCAGTGGAGTGTTTAGCGAACACTGGGAAGTCTGTGGTGACGGTCAATGCCACTGCCACCAACACCACCCGTGAACGGATTAATCCTTTGATTTCTGTCCCCCTCAGCTAGAACCCCAATGTGCATGCGTGTTTGCATTCGCTAATGCATGCTTGTATTCCGAGGTGCTCCTTTGTCTTATTTGTCGCTTGGCGCTTTTGTCTTGTGTGTGATGCGCGCGCTTCAATAAACAGCTTGAATGGCACTGCATGCACATGAACTCATAAATTTGCGTGCATGGACGTTCGTGCATGTCTGACTATGCATGCTGTGCTTGTGAATGCACTCGTTCGATGACGTGTCGTTTCCAGATGGCAGCTGCAATCGCCTCGTCTTGCCAACCTGACGCATCAACCAAAGGCCGAAAAGGGCCCATCATCATCCGCTGCTGAGCTGGCACGGTGGATCTCGGATCTGGTAACCGAGCAACAGCAGCAGCAGGGGAAGCAGCGCCAGGCGTCAAAACAGCGTCAGGAAGCAAAGCAGCAGGAGCAAGCTCTTGGGAGGAACGCCAGTCCGTGGCTGTGCATTGTGGTCCACAATCTGGACGCTCCCCCCCTGAGAGCATCGCCTGCATCCATCTCCCTGCTCGCCCTCCTTGCCGCCTGCCCTGCCATTGCTGTCATTGCCTCTGTCGACCACGTGCTCGCCTCCGCATGTGAGTTGGCAGGGTGTGGCGTTTGGGCAGCTGTAGCAGAGAACATGCTAGTCCGTGGCTGTGCATTGTGGTCCACAATCTGGACGCACCCCCTCTGAGAGCGTCACCTGCATGCGTCTCCCTGCTCGCGCTCCTTGCCGCCTGCCCTGCCATTGCTGTCATCGCCTCTGTCGACCATGTCCTCTCCTCTGCATGTGAGTTGGCATTTGGGTGTCCTGCTCTATGTCCTATCTCATGCCCTATGTCATGCCCTATGTCATGCACTCCGGTCTTCCCATGCTCCTTCCCATGTGCCCATCCACGTTCGTAAACACACATGCTCCTTCCACCCCTTGTGTTCATTGTCTTTCACTTGAACCCCCCATGTTCCCAAACCCACAAAATCTCCAGTATTTGACCGGCAGACCCTCTCTCTCTTCAACTTCGCCACCCATCACGTGGTGACACGTGGCGCCTACACCAAGGAGGCCTCGGCCTTCGCCCCCGCCACCCTCTCCCACGCGCCCTCCACCTCTGCTGCAGCACAGGCCGCCCTGCTGGTCCTCCGCAGCCTCCCCCCCAACGCCTGTCAGATATTCACCCTCATAGCACAGCCGTTTCTGTCTAGTGCTGGTGGCAGTAAAGGCAGAGGCAGTGGAGGCGGGTCTGCTGGTGGCGGTTCTGGTGGTGGTGGGGGGGGGGACGGTGATGGGGACGGCGATGGGGAGGAGGAAGGCGGTGGGTCAGGCCAGAGGAACCAGCCTCAAGGTGCCCTTTCTCTCCCTCTCCCTCCTTTCTATCTGCTCCACGTTTTCACCCTGTTCCTCCTTTCTCCCTGTTCCTCCTTTCTCCCTGCTCTTCCTTTCTCCCTGCCCCTCCGTTTTCCCTGCCCCTCCTTTCTTCCTGCTCCTTCGCCTTTCCCATCCACATGTTCACCCGATCTGTCGTTATCCCAGCTCAGCTTTGCTTCCTGCACTGCCTTTGGGGTAACCAGTGATGCAACATCGCACACATGCTTGCCGTTTCTGTGCCACACATCGCGCCTCTCAGATTCGTTTCTCCTTTCCCATTCTTCTCATTCTCCTCCGTCTTCTCCCCTTCTTCTCACTCTCCTTATCTCCCTCCTTCCCCTCTGCCCTCGCCAGCCCTGCCTTTAACGCAGCTCTATTCCCTCTCCCGAACGCGCTTTCTGGTGACCAGCAAAATCACGCTGCTCTCATTTTCCTCCTCGCTTCCTCCACTTTTCCCCTCTGTCTTTCTTGTTTTCCCTTCCAGCCCTGCCTTTCGCCCAGCTCTACTTTTGAGTCGACTCAAAAGTCATTCTCCTCCTTGCTTCCTCCGCTTTTCCCCTCTGTCTTTCATATTTTCCCTTCCAGCCCTGCCTTTCGCCCAGCTCTACTCCCTCTGCCGCACGCGCTTCCTGGTTACCAGCGAGGTAACGCTACGGGCGCATCTGAGGGAGTTTGAGGACCATGCTCTGGTGAGGGTGTTCAGGCAGGCGGATGGGACAGAGAGCGTGGGGCTGCTGCTGCCTGTGGGCGCTCTGACTCATGTGATGGAGCAGCTGGGTGGGAAATGACAGGCTGGTGCTGCGAGTCATCTCAAAACTCAAGTGATGAAGCAGCTGGGTGGGAAGTGATGGGCTTGTGGTATTTCAAGAGCACCTGAGGGAGTTTGAGAACCAGTCTCTGGTGAGAGTGTTCAGGCAGGCGGACGGCACAGAGAGCGTGGGGCTGCTGCTGCCTGTCCCGGCTTTGACTCATGTGATGGAGCAGCTGAGGGGGAAACGAAATGATGGAGTGGTGGTGCCCAATCCTGAGTTGTTTCAGGAATCACGTGATAAAGCAGGTGGACAGCAAGTGACGGGCTGATGGTGTTATGGGAGCAGCAGGGGTAGTTCGATTCGAGGGCCATGCTCTGATGAGGATGAGGTTCAGACAGACAGATGGCACAGAGAGTGGGGGGCTGCTGCTGCCTGTGGGTGCTTCAACTCACGTAATGGAGCAGTGGATGGGAAATGACAGGCTGGCATTGGCTGGTTCGAGCCTGTCTCAAAATTCCAGTGATAGGGCTGGAGCAGCTGGGCCGGAAATGATGGGCTCGTGGTATTTTGAGAGCACCTGAGGGGGTTTGCCGATCACGCTCTGGTGAGGGTGTTCAGACAGGAGAAACGCACGGAGAGTGTGGGGTTGTTGCTGCCCGTCCCGCCTTTGATTTCAGTGATAGAGCAGCCGGTTGGGATGTGATGGCTGATGGCGCTACAAGCGCATTGTGGGAATTATCTGCCCCCCTGCTTTACTGGCAGATGGGGCTGTGGGGGGGGGTAACTGGCTGCGCGGCATTGCAACTATGCTCTGCAGCATGGGATGCAGGATGGGCGCTCATTGCATCACATCACAGTGATAAAACCACCTCTGATTGTAAGCACGCACGGTGCATCCCATCATGCCTTGCCAATGATTATGTGATATTCACTGATGCCTGTCATTCTTCAATGTCTGCAGCTCAAGTTTGCAAAGTACGGCCTTCCACTTTGTTGGGCTGAGAAAAAGCCCTTAGGATCTTTGCAGGACTAAGGTACATTCCGCTGTGGACACTGTCCCAATCGATGTGTCCCAATCGAGTGTACCGCTCCGAACCGAACTAAACCAGAGACGCGAAAAAAATCGAAACTAGGGTGCAATTTGGTGTAATACGATGCAGTGCGGTAGAAACGATTGAGACACTTTCGATTGGGACATGTCCAGCGCGGAATGTACCCTAAACTCTGAGTAGGAATAATGTAATAGCGGAAGCGTTTAGTGAGAAAGTTGTGAACCACCTTGCGCTGGTATGTGAGGGCAAAGTAGATTGATTAAAACAAAGAGATACAAGCTTTTATAAGAGTACAAGGGAATATGAAGGGTTATAACTAATAACTGTTTTGCTGTTGCTGTTGCGGTTCGATACAGTGACGACTCGGGCAACTGCTCAATGACGAGTCAGTTGTTTGTCCTTGCTGTCGCGCTGTACTTGTCAGGTCAAAGGTTGCTGACCTTTGACTTCCGCGTAACCTCCAGCAGTTGTTCAACCTCCGAGGGTTGACTCGCCGGTGCTTCGCTGTGTTTCGCTTCGCTTATAACTTAGTGCTTCGACACGGCAGAGGCGCTTAAGTTACTTGTTTCCAACACTCCCCTTCGCTTCTGGAGTGTCGCTGCTGGTGACGTGGCTCTGTTGCTGCCGATGTTGTCTCTGCTGCTGCCGATGTTGTCTCTGCTGCTGCCGATGTTGTCTCTGCTGCTGTCGAGTGTTGAATCGTTGCTTATGCTCTTGTTCGTTCTGCCTCAGGAATGGTGTGCGAATACCAGAAACCTCCGGGGCTGAAGTCAGGATCAAGATCCGGTGGGTGCGTCCAAGAGGTGAAGGTGACGATTCCGTCGCTGTCAGCGGTGCCAAGATCTGGGACGAAGTCGAGGACGAAAACGTTATTTTTCAGGACCGCCTTCCCGATGTAGAGACCGCACTTCCCGTGGTATAACTTGAATTCATGTGTTGTGCTGTCTGCTTCGAGGTGGATGCCTTTCGCCATCAGCTGACTGACGCTCAGTAAGTTGTAGCCGAGTCCCTCCGCAATTAACACTTTTGACATTTGCAGTATTACGTTTGTCTCTCGTGACTGAAGTTGCACCACACCTTGTCGTCGTGTGCGCAGGTTCTGGTTGTTGGCGACGGTGATGAGGACTTCGCGTTGAAGTTGGTGTTCGCGTTGAACGAAGCGTCCTGAAGAGCACATGTGCTGTCCGCAGCAACTGTCCAAGAACCACGTATCTTTCCCGGACGGCTCGCTTTGAGCGATGGCTGCATACGTCGGATTCGGCTCAGTGTCTCGCGGCGAGGAGTGCGTTCTTCGAGTTGTTCTTCTGGTGAATAGTACGGTGGTGATTCAGTGATGCAGGAGTCTGACAATCTTGCCATGCAGCTGACGATGTTTCTTGCTCCTTGTGCAGATTGTGTTGACGACGATGTCGTTGAGGACTGCAGTTGACTTGTGGGGTTTGCTTGCGTGGACGCTACTTGACTGCTCGAAGGACGAAGTTGGCGCTGCGGCGGCGTTGACTGTTGTCGATTCGGGCAGTGTGTGTGAAGGTGTCCTGAAGTTTTGCAGAGATGACAAAATGGAGGTACGGGTTTTGGTTGATGCCGGTTGTTGTTGTTGTTGTAGCGCCGTTGAGTGTGAAACCCAAATTCGGGTACTGATGTTTTCTTCCTGTGTCGCTCCTCTTGCAGGTCCATGTCTTGCTGTTCGGCGTGAATTTCGGCGCAGAGTGCTGCTTCGGAGATCTTCCCGTGAGCTCGGTGTATGGCGCGAGTGGAGCGCCAGTGTGGACCAAGACCGCCGATAACAACTGTGACGAAGGCGTCTTCTGATATTGATCCTCCACATCGAAGGAGTTTGTCGCGCAATTCGCGACAGCGACTGATATACGCCATTCCCTTTTCGCCTGGTTTCATTTCCACTGTTGTCAGTTGCGCCATTAACCGACTCTGGTTGACGCTGTCTATTGCCTGATACAAATTCTTCAGGTGGTTGTACGCAAGCTCGGCGGAATTTCCGTATCCTCGGTAATACCGAATGTTCTGCTGCTGGTTCGGTGTGACGTTGCGCAGTAGGATTGTATACGCCATCATGGATTGATACGTATACTGCTGCTTGTCGTATTGTGTCCCGTGCGTTGGATATGGCAGGGACCCGTCGAAGAAGCCAAGAATCTGCGCGCCTTCCATCATCAACTCGAATTCGAACGACCAGGTAAAGAAGTCCTTTCCGTCAAATGGTCTTGATGTCTGCAGTTTTAAGACGTGCGCAAACTGCGACTGGACTTGAAGTGGATCCAATGTCTTCTCTTGGTCAGGTGAAGGCTGCTGGCGCGGCATGAAGCTGACGGAACCACGCTGGGGTTCATACGGGGCGAAGGTAGGTTGCTGTTGCTGATTTCCTCGCGCGTAGGATGAACCATCGAGGCTCATCGGTGTTACATCGTTGTTGTTGTTGCTGTTGTTTGACTGCGCAGGTGCCCCTTGCTGGTGTTGTTCGTAGAAGGACATGAAGGAGAAGAACTTCTCCATCATGCTTGGGTCGAAGCCCGCAGCTTGATTTGCGGGAGTTTCAGTAGACCCAGCTGCCGGTCTTGTTGCTGTGCCCTCCTCTGTCTGTAGGCCAGAGGCAGGAGGTGGAGTAGGAGTAGTACCGGGAGAACCATTAGAGGAACTTCTTTCCTTCTGAGTAGCCATGCTTTCTGATGTTGTAGGTGTCTTGATAGTGGAATTTGTCCTGACTGCTCTCATACCATGTTGGGCTGAGAAAAAGCCCTTAGGATCTTTGCAGGACTAAACTCTGAGTAGGAATAATGTAATAGCGGAAGCGTTTAGTGAAAAAGTTGTGAATCACCTTGCGCTGGTATGTGAGGGCAAAGTAGATTGATTAAAACAAAGAGATACAAGCTTTTATAAGAGTACAAAGGAATATGAAGGGTTATAACTAATAACTGTTTTGCTGTTGCTGTTGCGGTTCGATACAGTGACGACTCGGGCAACTGCTCAATGACGAGTCAGTTGTTTGTCCTTGCTGTCGCGCTGTACTTGTCAGGTCAAAGGTTGCTGACCTTTGACTTCCGCGTAACCTCCAGCAGTTGTTCAACCTCCGAGGGTTGACTCGCCGGTGCTTCGCTGTGTTTCGCTTCGCTTATAAGGGCGTGTTCCTACGTCCTCATATCAGGAAACCTCGTATCAAGAATGTACCTTTTGCCTGGTAAAACTAGCGAGAGGTTTTGGGTTTAGGGGATTTTTCAGTGTGAGCCTGATACGAGGTTGTCTTGATACGAGGATAGGAACACGCTCTAACTTAGTGCTTCGACACGACAAAGGCGCTTAAGTTACTTGTTTCCAACACACTTGACAGTCCTTCGGCATTACAGCAGAGTCTACTTTTGAGTCGACTCAAAAGTACACTCGACAGTCCTTTGGGATCACAGCACTCGAGAAAACAAATCAGAGGGCATGTAAGGGGACGTCATGCTGCCAAAGAGCATTTCCACTTTCTGAGTTTTTTCGATGGAGCATGAACCAGATCCAGCTCTACAACTCAAAACCTGGAAACCTTGCTTCGTCGGGGCGGCTCATATCCAGAAACAGACAAGCAGGGCCGCCCAGACCTTCCATTAGGGAAAACGGGTGGTCTCCACAGTGCATCGTGCCCGCCTCCGCCAGCTGACGCCAGTTGGCATGCAGGAAGCCAGCAAACGCACGTGCCCTGTGCAGGTGACGTGTCATCACTGCTGATGTGGCAGTGTCTCCTCCTGTCAGATCTGCGGGCGATGCTGACATGGCAGTCGTAGGAGTGCCTGTGCCCTCAGCAGCAGCTGATCCCCAGACTCGAGCAGAGACTTCTGCCAAGCCTGCGGTTGTGGCTCGGTGGAGAGCCAGAAAGGTGTAGGCGTTGCCGCTGATGCCGTGGCAGAGTCCGACCCTGCGCAGCAAGCCTCGGTGCCAAACCACCTCCCCAGCCTCGATGGCTGCTTGGAGCAGATGTGGCTTGGATGGGTACAGCTGGTGCAAGGGAAAAAGAGATAGAGGTGCGGAAAGAGAAAAAGAAGGTCTTTCATGGACGTTGGATTTGAGCAGCATATTTGTAAGAGCTACATGTTGCAACCGACAGATGGACGTGTCTTTGAATACAACCTCATCCAGCAACCCTGCCATGACAGCATGCAACAATCTTACCTTCAAGAGCATGAGAAAAGGGTCTCACCATGGCAGCAAGGGCGAGAGCTGGAGCCACACCAGGCGCACCGTGACACCAATGCACCAACCGATCCGCCTCCCTCACCTCCCTCACCTCCCTCACCTCCCCCTCCCCCACACTTGCGCTGCCACCCCCACCCGCAGCTCCCCTAGCAACAGCACCAGCACTACCAGCACTGCTTTCTCGTTCGAGTGCATTCCTGAGAGCAGCAGCAGCTGCCCGGCTCTCCCCGTCGCTCGCAGCGTAGTTCCCCGAAGGCAGGCGAGTGGCTACGAGGTATTCCAACGCTGCTGCCGCTGCTTCTGCTGCCTCCTCCAGTGTCCTGTCTCTCCTTTCGTCCTCCTCCTCCACGTCCAGTTCTTCTCTCCGCAGCAGCAGCAGCATGTGTGCTATCCCTGCCACGCCATGTGCTGCCCCCAGGTACCGGGTGTCATACCACTCGTACATGAGAGGAGGGAGGGGGTGGCCATCTGCAGAGAATGGCAGCATAGAGCAACATGGATCAGGACAGCATGGTATCAGAACTATAAGCCAATGCAACAGATGGCTATGCAGTCCCTGTTAGCCCGACATGAATGCCTCTTACCATGATTATATGTTGATGCAAGGGACAGTCCCGCATCCACGATGGCAGCAGCAACAGGGCGAGCGAGAGAGAGCGGAAGAAGCTTCCTCCGCATCTCCACGGGAAGGTTCCTACGGAGGAACAGGAAGGCCCAAAGCATGCCTGCTCTGCCGTATAATAACTCGTGGGGGATGGTGGCTGGTGCGGTGTCGGAGAGGGAGGAGGGGAGGAGGGAGAGCGAGGGGAGGGCGGTGGTGAGGAGGGAGAGGAAGGAGCGGAGGTAGGGATTGGAGTCTAGCTCTTCGTGCTGCTGCTGCTGCTGCTGCTGCTGCTGTAAATGTTGTTGCTGAGAGTGGTGCATGAGATGATGGTGCACAACAGCTCCCAATGCGAGGATGCCCGGTTGACCACAGTAGAAGGTGTAATGCCTGATGGGCATGGGGAGCGGGTTGGAGGTGGGGGGTGGGGAGAGGGGGTGGATAAGGGGGGGCGACGTAGGGATGGGGAGGAGAAAAGAGTGAGCATTTGAAAGGGTGGAGCGAATGGGATGGTGTTAACACAAGGCGATGGGTAGTAGCTTGCGGAGGCGAAAAACAGCACAGCACCCACGTTCGGTGGCGTTCCGCCATGTCAGCAGCAGCCCGGATGATGTCAGCAGCAAGTGCCAGGTCAGCAACATCTCCTGTGGCCTGATAGGCTCGGAAGCACACCCAGGCTGTTCCCAGCAGGCCCACGTAGAGGAACGGGTCCCGCACCCTGCGAGCTGGCGCTCCGTTCGTCCACGTGGCTTGCACTATCTGTGTCGGGGGAGGAGGGGAAAGAAGGGAGAAAGGGGAGAGGGGGGAGAAGAGGAGGAGGGACGAAGCACACCTACGCTGTCCCCAGCAGGCCCACATAGAGGAACGGGTCCCGCACCCTGTGCGCTGGAGCTCCGTTCCTCCACCTGGCTTGCACTACCTGTGTTTCCGTGGCAAGGGGGTAGGGGGGAACGAGCAGCAGGCTGAGAAGCACAGAGGAATGGGTCCCGTATTTTGGGTGCTGGCGCCCCGTTCCTCCAGTCGCTTCCCCTATCTGTGTTGGGGATGGGAGACGGAGTAGTGGGAGGGGAGGATGGGGGAGAAAGGGAAAGAGTGGGGAGAGAGGGGAGGGGGAGGGGGAGAGAGGGACGAGGCAAGCCGGTCACATTGAAGACACTCACGTTTGTCTCAGCAGCCCCACATAGAGGATAGCATGGCCCCTGGGGGAAAGAGATCCTTATTTCCACGTGGCAAATGCAAATTGACTGGGAGAGGAGAAGGTGCAAATCGAAGGGAGAAGGGTAATGCTTTGGCAGATCAGAAGAGGGAGAGGCCGGGGAGGAGGAGGTGAGTTCCATGGGGTGGAGAGGGGGGGGGCTGGGGAAAGTAGAGAAGGATTTTCGGAAAGAGATAACAAGGCGCAAATAACCCCACCTGATCCTTAAGCTCCAAGCCCGCTCGAAGAAACTCCTCCTCAGACGGAACAGCCAATGACGGGCCGACACCTGGCAGAGACAAACCCCCCAAGCTCTCCTCCCCCCGCCCTTCCCCCGTTACAGTCACTCCTGTTTTCCCTGTTACATTCACTCCGCCTTCCCCCGTTACAGTCACTCCTCCTGCAGGGACCCCTATTTCCCGGGCCCTTCGCTCCACTTGCGCTACAGCAGCCTGGGAGGGGTCATAGTCGGCTAGCAGGTTGTGGAACCGGCGGCCGTCAGCCACAGACACGGGAAAGGCGGCAGCGCGAACGGTTTCTTGGTGCTGCTGAGGGGTTTCCCGGTCGCTGTGATGCTGCCGGCGGTGCTGCTGGTAACTCATGACTGTTACTAACGGGGATGCTCTTGCCGCTTGAGGCGATGCCTGCGCGGGAGTTTTGGACGACCGGAAACGCGCGGAGGAGAACGGGGAGAAACGGGCGGCGCAGCGAGAAGCGGCGGCGGAGGCGGAAGAAGCGGACGCGGAAGCGGAAGAAGGTGCGGAAGCTGAATAAGCGGACGCGGAAGCGGAAGAAGGCGCGGAAGCGGTAGTACTACACGAAAAAGCGGTGGTGACACTATATCGGCGCGTAAGGGGTGGCGCGCGACGACATGGATGTGCCAGAGAGGAAAAGCTCCTGGCGGAGACCGCGACAGACAGCATTTACCAATCCTGCTGCTCCCGCGCACCGAATGTGGCTGATCTTTGTGGTGAGAATGCGACCAGCGTTACACAAGGGAGGTCAGCTAGACTCGAGGAGACGGGAGGATGTCAGCAAAAGGCCGAGATAAACTGCTTTTCGTGCTTGATGATTTTCGTCACCCGGTTTTGGCTCCGCGAGACACGTGGATAGGCAGAAACGGCATGCAGCGAGGGCAAGGATTGCAGAACGGAATTTGGAACACAGTGACAAATGCGAAATTCGTGTTCAGCATTTAGGAGGGCTTGGGTTGCAGCATGGAGGGGATTGGGGAAACTTGGCGATCTTCGCTGGTCGGTTCGCAACTGCGTGGCGAAAATAAGGCGACTGGACGAAGCGGGTGACATCCCTGCGAGGTTTTGACGGATCTTTTTAGCGCGTACGAACAACCTTGATTCAAAAATATCTATAAGGTCCTCCGAAGTGTACATCCTCCCAGACAGAGCACACCCCAGCGCATGTCGGGTCATCCACTGTGGTTCAAGTTCACATGCGCTAAAAAGGGTTCCTGCTTCTCAACCGCTTTCAAAGGTAACGCACCGAGACAAACCGTAGAGCATGATTTGAAAAGGACCGCACCGGACTCCCGTTTCTTCCAGTCTGACAGAATTCCCTCCGCCGCCTGACACACGCGATTCGAACTCCCCCACCCGCCACCAGTCAACTTCGGATGCCGGTTGAACCAAAACCGAGGAGCATCTGTCCCAATTCCCTAGTCACTTCAACCAGAAAGTACAGCATCACACTGAGTTCATCGCCTTGAAGTTACCGCTAACTCGTCGGTTTCACCGCCGCCTAGACGTCATACCAGCCTTGGAGTTCCCGTCACCACCTTTAACGTTACCTCAAGCCACGAGGAATTATCCACTTCCGTACAACTTTTCCAGCTGAGACTATTGGACGGCAATCGCTTTCCGCTGTCTCTGTTAGCTGCCGCCGAGCAATAAATTGTCACAAACGTTTAATTATCGACTTATTTATCATTTAAGGGATCTTCAAGGTAGGATACTGAGCTCTCGACGAGGAACAATGGAGGATGACCATGCGCTACAACTGGCGGACGGTTTCGTTAACACGCAAAACCTTGACCACTGTATCGCGTACCTGAACGAGTCATTGGTACTGCTCGGTCTTCCACCGACCCTCGCTCTTCGATCCGATGAAGCGGTTAGTACCTCACTCGAGAATTTACTCGAATAGCTCGTGTCGTATCAGGTAATAACTAATATGTGATGCTTCGCAGGTTTCTCTTTGATTTCCAGTTCCCTGAGCTGCCTGGACTGGCATAAATAAACGGGATTCTTTTTAAGTGGATCTACGACCCGTAAGCCGTTTACCCATTCTCCAACGACTAGAACTTGTTTTGTGTCATGACTTGTCGCACAAACCGTCGCAGGCGTCAATGGCGACGGCGTGCGACTGCATCTACCAGCTAGTGCAGCAGCGGCAGGCGGATGCGAAGCAGCGCGACGACCTGGCGACGCAGCGACACCGGCTGATGTGCGACCTGGCGACGGCGGAGAGTCGCTCAGATCGTCTAGAGGACGAGCTGGAAGTCGCCAGGCGGAAAATCCAATCGCTTACGGCGCAGGTGGGGGTGTGGGTCGGGAGCAAGGGAGAGGAGAGAGAAAGGTGGATAGAATTGGTTAAGATTGGGCGGTAACGGGTGCGGATGGGTGCAGGAAATCTCTGGATAAGCACAGCCGTTTATCATCGTGCGAAAGAGTACGAGGAGGCGATCCAGTCACAAGCCTAGTTTCCAGCACCGGAGGGATCCCCCGTGTGAATCGTGTTTCTCATCTCACCGTACCTCGTGTCCACTCCTCTCCTCTCACTCTCGTCACACCTTCATGCGTGTGACATGAAATGGAGCGACTCTCCTCTCCCCTCCTCTCCTCCTCTCCTCTCCTCTCACTCTTCGCTCTCCAGGAGCAAAAAGCGGCGGCAGAGTTCAAGGCGCAGATCAAGAAGCTAAGAGCAGAGAGGGACGAGCTCAGCAAGCATGTCATCGCCCTGCAGGTGAGTCAGCACGCCGTGCAGGTGAGTCAGCACGCCGTGCAGTATCCTCGATACTGTTGTTTCCTTAATACTCTTGTGTCCTCGATACTGTTGTATTCGACTCAATCCAATCCACCATCTCACTCAATGATTCTTCACGGCGCCTTCCAGAAGTTTTCCTATACGTTTATTCACCACTCTCGTCCCACCATCCACCCCACGCCTCTCCCACGCGACCACTGCAGCAAGTGAAGGCGCAGCAGGCGTTCGAGCTGCGCAAGGAGAAGCGCGAGTTTGTGAAGCTGCAGGAGAAGCTGGCGTCATTGGTGATGTGCCCCTCTCACACCATCCCTCCCCCGGCCCCCTTCCCCCCGTTCCCCCCACGCCTCGCTACCATCCCACTGCAGCAAGTGAAGGCGCAGCAGGCGTTCGAGCTGCGCAAGGAGAAGCGCGAGTTTGTGAAGCTGCAGGAGAAGCTGGCGTCATTGGTGATGTGCCCCTCTCACACCATCCCTCCCCCGGCCCCCTTCCCCCCGTTCCCCCCACGCCTCGCTACCATCCCACTGCATCAAGTGAAGGCGCAGCAGGCGTTCGAGCTGCGCAAGGAGAAGCGCGAGTTTGTGAAGCTGCAGGAGAAGCTGGCGTCATTGGTGATGTGCCCCTCTCACACCATCCCTCCCCCGGCCCCCTTCCCCCCGTTCCCCCCACGCCTCGCTACCATCCCCCTGCAGCAAGTGAAGGCGCAGCAGGCATTCGAGCTGCGCAAGGAGAAGCGCGAGTTTGTGAAGCTGCAGGAGAAGCTGGCGTCGTGCGTGGGGGGCAAGCGCAGGCCCGCCAGACAGCCAGGCGTGGACATAGTCAACCTCAACCCCCAGGTACAGTGCGGTGCCGTGCGGTAGACTGCGGTGCAGAAGTGTGTGTTGTGGTGCCGTGCTATCGCATGCGTGGGAGAGGCTAAACTTGTGCGTGTGGGGAGTGCACGCCGCCTGGCAGCCAGATGTGCGATTCTTCCCCCCTTCCAATTCTTACTTGTCCCAACTCTGTGCTCTGTATGTTACAGACAGAGGGCAGGCAGAGGGCCACATGGGGCGGGAAGAAGACAGATAGCGACTTTTACAAGCGCATGGTAAGAGTTGAACTGTGAAGTGTCACTGTTGCTGAGTGACACGTGGTGGCTGTCACTCTGCTACGTGTCTTTTCTGGAAAAGTTCACTTTGTTAAATAAAATCTGCAGCGAATCTCCCGCATTGCTCTCCTGTTCCCCCGCTTCCCGCCTCCCACATCGCCCCTCCATGCGTCACCCATCCAGATCCTGTTGCGACCCTCACACCCTTTCTATTCGTGCTGCTCATTACCACCCTTTGTCTGTGCATCATCTTTCCTTTCTTTTCCCTCTGGTAACAGATGGAGGCGCATGAGAGGCAGCTGAGGGCCGTGGGGGAGGACAGCAAGCAGCACATGCACTCCCCCTCCCTGCCCTGTGCTATGCTTGCCTTGCCTTGCCTTGCCTCTTTGTTACCCCTCCTACTTTGTGTGCGCCTTGCTCTCCCCCATCTTCTGGTGGCAGATGGAGGCACATGAGAGGCAGCTGAGGGCAGTGGGGGAGGACAGCAAGCAGCTCATGGCAGTCATTCGCTCCATGCAGGTACGATCACATGGACAATATATGTGGTTTTATTGTTGTTGTTGTTGTTGTTTTTTTTTTTTTGGCATGCACTGCTTGCTTTTGACGCTTATGACACTCATTTTCTGTGTGCCCTTGTTCTTGCTCCGTCATAGGATCTAATTGCCGTGTTTCTTGGATGTGTTCCTTCAGTCGGATCTCCAATCACTCATTAGCGAGTACAGCAAGGGCCTGCCCTCATCAGTTGTAGAGGGGCAGCAACGGGGAGAAGGGCAACAGAAGGAAGGGGATTCTGAGAATGTTGCCGAGGAGGAGGATAGAGGGAGTGAGAATGGTTCGGAGAGGGAGGAGGAGGGGGAAGAAGAGGAAGAGGAGAACATGGTGAGTGTTTCTCCGTCTGCTCAAGTTTCGCGCCCCTTGAGATTTTCCCACCCTCTTCATTCGTCCCGCCCTTTCTTCTTTTCCTGCCATTTCTTTGTTTTCCTCGAGCGTCGCCTCTCCCAGCTCCTTGTCTCCTCGCCACCAGGATGTGTACGTGCTCTCAACCAACAAGGTGACTTTTGAGTCAACTCAAAAGCCACCAGGACGTGAACGTGCTCCCAACCACCATGCCGTCCCCACACATCATGCTTTAGGCAACTTAAATCCCTGCCCTTCTCCCTGTCTGGCCCCCCATCGCTCCTCCACCAGGACCTGTACGCCCTCCCGCCCAACATGGCGTGTCCCCACATCATGGACCTACACCAACGCATTGTGACGGCCATGCGGGTATGTACTGCCCAGTGAATGATTCATTATTAGTAAAGACCAGCGTGATTTTTAGAGTCGCCCCACTCAGGATTGCCCCTTAGTGAAATCATTGCTGCGGTTGCCGTTTTTTGTCCTCCATTGTGTGTTATCATATTATCATTTGCCCGCCCTGCTGTTCCCTTCAGGATCTTGTCAAGAGAGCAGCGCAGCAGCAGGCAGACTCTGCTGCAGCGGGTGGTGACTGTACCGGAGGGGACAGTAACGAGATGGGTACTCTGAGGGAAGAGCTGGAGGCGTGCCGAGAGCGTTTGGCCGAGCAGGTATGTGTGAGGGGTCTATCTGTGAGGAGACTAAATGATTGTAACGAGGATGGAGAACACTGCAAGGGGCAGGGCGGGGGATGATGGTAGGGGAGGGAAGAGGGGGAGGGAGAGGGGCAGGGGCGAGGAGAGGAGAGGTGGGCAAAACAGGGGTGGTGAATTGGGTGGTGTGCTGGTGTGGGGATGCTTAGGAGTGGAAGCGGAGAAGAGCTGGAAGGGGATATGATCATTCTCTGCCTTTGACTTCTGACTGTTGAGAATTCTCAAAAGTCAAACTAACATAGGAGTGGAAGTGGAGGAGAGTTGGAAGGGGATATGATCATTCTCTGCCTTTGACTTCTCACTGTCCTGGCTGCTTCTCTTGCTTCCCTGTGCCTTCCCTTGCAGGAGCTCCTGATATGCAACTACATGCACACTCCAGGGTGAGTGCCCATGTATGTCGGGGTGATGTGGTACAAAGGGTGTATGTCGTCATGGGCGTGTGTGATGTGAAGTCTGTTGGTTCAAGCGTTTCGTTGGTTTTTTTAGGTCGTCTTGCGCATTATCAAATATATATTCGATACGGCTCTTGGTCGTTTCGGGGAATGTTCTCTTATCGCGCGCAATAATTTTAAAAAACTAACATTATTTCATCTGGTGCCCCCTCATGTTGCATATGTTTTGTATGTACCAGGAGCGCCAAGAAGACACCCTTCAATAAGAGGGAGGAATTTACGCCACTCTACACCGCCCAGGCTTCCTGGGCTAGTTGACTAGAAAGATAGTCTACACCCCCTACAAGCTCTAAGTTCCAGCATTTTGCTGGAAAGGTGATAGTTTAGTCGCTTCACAAGTATATGATTTAAATCTATACCGTCAGTGCGATTTATAGCCAGTAAAGAGAATGTAGAGCTTCACATGTATTTATACCGCATCCAAGTGGTTCCAAACCAAGGTTATTGCTTTGGTTTTGGCATATGGTTTCCCGCCAAGGGACGTCCCTTCTATAGTAATTTCTGTTCTGCCACAGTCAGCACGAACCTATCACATGCCGAGGAGGCTGTCATTGGGTCGAGTTGTGTTGCGTTGCGGACGCATGCCACGCACGTGACGAACGAGGCCTTGCTTCACGGACAAGACGATCTAACTGCCACTAGTGTCGTTTCCGGTAGGGACACATGAGCGCCACACTACACTACAGCTGTCGTCGAGCGAGAGTGAATTGGGGTTGCTCGCTGACCAGGATTGGCAGGGAGGTCCTCCTCTCCTCTCCGTTGTTGCCTGCAGCAGTGGGTTATGCCCAGAGGTAGTACACCGTTGTTTCAGAACAATCTCAAACGTTCATGGGCACAGTAGTGCTGATAATTTATGTTTTGACAACGCAATTTTCTACATAGGCACCACCACAAGCCGAGAGATTCATGCGAACTTTATCGATATACGAGAACACCTATCATGAATGTCATTTTTTTGCGTAAGCTCAGCATCTGATGGAATTACACCAGTCGTGCATTTATTTCTGTTGTTCATTACTATTGTGGCTGTCAGAGTTGCTTTGTACCAAGGCTGGTTTTTCATTGCCAGTATCAGAAAGAGCATTCGCTGTGCACGGCTGTTCCCAGTTACGACAAATCCAAATTCCACATTGTTGGATGGAAAGCGAGCCAACACGCAATCGTCCGCATGCCCTTCCTGATGAGAGGCGAATCGCGATTCCGTCAAGAATAAGGTGCCCAAAGCTGTTGCCTTTAGCACGCTAGATGCTGTCGTGGATGTTTCGCGACGATAACGTAGTTCGACACACTGGCTGATCGTTTTTACACGTGCAGCTTTGCCACGAAGCGATTGTGCGACAGCGGTGACATGGACATGACTCAGAGAATCACCAGAATGTTGCTGTTGCCGAAAGTCCCTTCCATGTCAGCCAATCTAGAAACTGCCATAAACCGCATCTGCCTCTCACGCGCGAAAAACCTGCCATTCTGCGCGAACAGAAGCAAGCGTGCAAGGCGGATCCGAGGAAAGTGGGGTGGACGAGAGGGACCAGCACAACTGCGGTTGAGAAGGGATGGAACGATCTCGATGGCACATCTGCAGTATTGCAAAGAGAGGGGATGATTGACTCGGGATTCCAGAAGCCATATCGGGATGGTAGGCGGTTTAATAAGGTACAGAACGGTACAGTTTGGTCCGGACCGGACGTTCCGCCCACAGATAATTATGCCCACCACTCCAGCTCTATAACAAAATCTAGCTAAGCCCTCCGATCTGGATCAGTGGTCATTTTTGTTAGCTCCAACCACATTTCTCGCATCATTCAGTGTTGTCATTCGTCTCAGATTGTCAACTTAAAGTTTTTTGTATTCAATTCGTCTTCTCGATGGCTGCTGCTCACTGCGAACGCACAGGCATTCCACCAGTAGGCTCGCTAGCTCGCGCCGCCAGCCTACCGCTTCACCGGCAAAGCTCGCTTGACGCATTCAGGCGGCGCGTGAGTCCGCTTAAGATCGAGTCCCCTGCAACGGCAGACGAACCCGAGAAAGGTGCCCCGCTGAATCCGTGGGACATTAATTATGATGAGATATTTCCCCAATGTGCGCGGCTAGCTGAGCAATTCAGCCACGTGTCAGTTCACCAGCAACGCTTCAATGAGCGCCACGCACGGTCTCAAAGCGAGCTGCCGATCGCGGTTCCGCCGCGCCACCAGAGCCGCTTCGAAGAAACTGCCGTCCGTCTCACATCCTCGCCGCCATCGCCTGCGGACAGCTCCGCGTCGAGAGCCCGGAGCTACCGCGAATTGCGCTCTCGTGTGCTCGGCTGCTCACTCGGCTCGCCATGCACCGTGTCGCTCGCGAACTCGCGTCAACGCGAAGAAGGCTCCCGCTCTCAAGACGCTGGGCGTTTCGAGGCACATCCGGAAGAGGCGGGCTTGCGTGAGTGGTCCTGGGCCAGGCAGGGGAAGAGTAACAGCCTCGGCGGAGAAATTTCTGTAACCGAACCCTGCTACGATGTCGACGATGTTTACGGTAACGGAGCAGACTACAACGGCGAGCCGAAGCAGCTCGAATTTTCCTGCCCGCGGTACCTGAGCAAGCAGGCGTCTGAACCGCGAATGTCGGGGCCAACATTCAATCACTATAATTGGTCCTCTGGTTTTGGCGAAGTGCGCGATCGGCGTGCTAAGAGTTTCGCTCTCGACCGGTTACCCGTGGCGAGCATTTGCGACGCGTATCTCGGGCTTGACGATCTGGACGACGCTGCTTTCTCGGATGACGACGCCGGCTTGTTCACCGACGAGATGCTGTTTGCGAGCGAAATCGGCACTTCTTGCGAAGAGGTTGCGAACGAAGGCGAATTTACGGAGCCAAACACAGAGGATGTGTTACTCGGGAACTAACTGCACCCATTGCCAAAGTAGCGAGTGGCAGAGCGATTTCTCCCGGATTTGCGCGGGACCAGGAATCCGCCGCCTGATTTGCGCAAAGTCGCGAGGATATCAAGGTGGTACCAGACGTGGAATTCGGGCTTGCATGCAGCAGCCTCCTTTTCTGTGGGCGTAGCTTTGCCCTGTATTGTTATGAATTGTAATAAACAAATAACTGCATTTTGACTGGTCTAAAAAGTCCTGGGAGGATGTGCCCCAAAAGGAGGCGCCCAGAACAAACATTCCTGATCCCGTCCTGTGTTGAATGCCAGGCGTCACAAAACGTTAGTGAAGCCTGCTTGTCCCATCTGAACTTAAAAAACTTCCACGCAAAGGCATAGAATGTGGCTGTTGCCAACCTTTGCTCAGTGTAATGGCAACTATCACTACCAACAAGGTGACTTATGTAGCATTCAACCTTCCCTACAGCTCCCCATCTGCCTGTTTACACAGGAGAGCATACTCTCCCCCCATCAACTCCATCACCTCTCTCCACAGCCCTGTGTTCCCACTCACACCCACCGCTCCCTCCCTCCTTACCCCCACACCACCTGTCTCACTCCTCTCAACACCCCTCTCCGCGGCCTCGATACTGTCGATCTCGCTATTGGAACTGTCACCTGCACTCTCTACAGCCACAGTATCTCTCAGGGAATGCCTGAGAATGAGGTCGGGCGAGCATGCTCCCAAGTACCACACCCCTGCTGCCACCTCCCTCTCCAACTGCCCTGGCGCCCACCCTGAGGGGTCAGGAATGGGGGAGGATGGAAGCAGAAGGATAGGGGATCAGGGGAGGTCAGATCAGATACGGGATGGAAGACCTGAAAAGCATGCTTCCAAGCACCACACCCCTGCTGCCACCTCCCTCTCCAACTGCCCTGGCGCCCAGCTTGGGGGATGGGAGGGTATGGAAAAGGAAATTTTGAAGCATATCAGAAGTGTTCCAGCTACCGAAGCACCCATGCCCCCACGCACCCATGCACCCATGCACCCATATACCCATGTCCCCATGCACCCATACACCCATGCACCCATGCCCCCTTCCACCCATACACCCATGCACCCTTCCACCCATACACCCATGCACCCATGCACCCATACACCTATGCACCCATACACCCATGCACCCATGCACCCATACACCTATGCACCCATACACCCATGCACCCATGCACCCATACACCTATGCACCCATACACCCATGCACCCATGCACCCATACACCTATGCACCCATACACCCATGCACCCATGCACCCATACACCTATGCACCCATACACCCATGCACCCATGCACCCATACACCTATGCACCCATACACCCATGCACCCATGCACCCATACACCTATGCACCCATACACCCATGCACCCATGCACCCATACACCTATGCACCCATACACCCATGCACCCATGCACCCATACACCTATGCACCCATACACCCATGCACCCATGCACCCATACACCTATGCACCCATACACCTATGCACCCATACACCCATGCACCCATGCACCCATACACCTATGCACCCATACACCCATGCACCCATGCACCCATACACCTATGCACCCATACACCCATGCACCCATGCACCCATACACCTATGCACCCATACACCCATGCACCCATGCACCCATGCCCCCTTCCACCCATACACCCATGCACCCTTCCACCCATACACCCATGCACCCATGCACCCATACACCTATGCACCCATACACCCATGCACCCATGCACCCATACACCTATGCACCCATACACCCATGCACCCATGCACCCATACACCTATGCACCCATACACCCATGCACCCATGCACCCATACACCTATGCACCCATACACCCATGCACCCATGCACCCATACACCTATGCACCCATACACCCATGCACCCATGCACCCATACACCTATGCACCCATACACCCATGCACCCATGCACCCATACACCTATGCACCCATACACCCATGCACCCATGCACCCATACACCTATGCACCCATACACCCATGCACCCATGCACCCATACACCTATGCACCCATACACCCATGCACCCATGCACCCATACACCTATGCACCCATACACCTATGCACCCATACACCCATGCACCCATGCACCCATACACCTATGCACCCATACACCCATGCACCCATGCACCCATACACCTATGCACCCATACACCCATGCACCCATGCACCCATACACCTATGCACCCATACACCCATGCACCCATGCACCCATACACCTATGCACCCATACACCCATGCACCCATGCACCCATACACCTATGCACCCATACACCCATGCACCCATGCACCCATACACCTATGCACCCATACACCCATGCACCCATGCACCCATACACCTATGCACCCATACACCCATGCACCCATGCACCCATACACCTATGCACCCATACACCCATGCACCCATGCACCCATACACCTATGCACCCATACACCCATGCACCCATGCCCCCATTCCCATCCACTCTTACCCCTGCTCTCATCTGCACACCTGCAGATCTGCAGATGCACCACCACTCACCAGCATGTCTGGCGAACCATCAATAGTCCATGCTGTTGCTACGCCCGCTCCCCACATGCTCCCATCCATGCATGGCCCCCATACACCATACGCCCCCATACCCCATACGCCCCCATACCCCATACGCCCCCATACCCCATACGCCCCCATACCCCATACGCCCCCATACCCCATATGCCCCCATACCCCATATGCCCCCATACCCCATACGCCCCCATACCCCATACGCCCCCATACCCCACATGCCCCCATACCCCATATGCCCCCATACCCCACATGCCCCCATACCCCATATGCCCCCATACCCCATATGCCCCCATACCCCATACGCCCCCATACCCCATATGCCCCCATACCCCACATGCCCCCATACCTCACATGTCCCCATACCCCATACGCCCCCATACCCCATATGCCCCCATACCCCATATGCCCCCATACCCCATACGCCCCCATACCCCATATGCCCCCATACCCCACATGCCCCCATACCTCACATGTCCCCATACCCCATACGCCCCCATACCCCACACGCCCCCATACCCCATATGCCCCCATACCCCACATGCCCCCATACCTCACATGTCCCCATACCCCATACGCCCCCATACCCCATATGCCCCCATACCCCATATGCCCCCATACCCCATACGCCCCCATACCCCATATGCCCCCATACCCCACATGCCCCCATACCTCACATGTCCCCATACCCCATACGCCCCCATACCCCATATGCCCCCATACCCCATATGCCCCCATACCCCATACGCCCCCATACCCCATATGCCCCCATACCCCACATGCCCCCATACCTCACATGTCCCCATACCCCATACGCCCCCATACCCCACACGCCCCCATACCCCATATGCCCCCATACCCCACATGCCCCCATACCTCACATGTCCCCATACCCCATACGCCCCCATACCCCATATGCCCCCATACCCCATATGCCCCCATACCCCATACGCCCCCATACCCCATATGCCCCCATACCCCACATGCCCCCATACCTCACATGTCCCCATACCCCATACGCCCCCATACCCCACACGCCCCCATACCCCATATGCCCCCATACCCCACATGCCCCCATACCTCACATGTCCCCATACCCCATACGCCCCCATACCCCATATGCCCCCATACCCCATATGCCCCCATACCCCATACGCCCCCATACCCCATATGCCCCCATACCCCACATGCCCCCATACCTCACATGTCCCCATACCCCATACGCCCCCATACCCCACACGCCCCCATACCCCATATGCCCCCATACCCCATATGCCCCCATACCCCATACGCCCCCATACCCCATATGCCCCCATACCCCATATGCCCCCATACCCCATACGCCCCCATACCCCATATGCCCCCATACCCCATATGCCCCCATACCCCATACGCCCCCATACCCCATATGCCCCCATACCCCATATGCCCCCATACCCCATACGCCCCCATACCCCATATGCCCCCATACCCCACATGCCCCCATACCTCACATGTCCCCATACCCCATACGCCCCCATACCCCACACGCCCCCATACCCCATATGCCCCCATACCCCACATGCCCCCATACCTCACATGTCCCCATACCCCATACGCCCCCATACCCCATATGCCCCCATACCCCATATGCCCCCATACCCCATACGCCCCCATACCCCATATGCCCCCATACCCCACATGCCCCCATACCTCACATGTCCCCATACCCCATACGCCCCCATACCCCACACGCCCCCATACCCCATATGCCCCCATACCCCACATGCCCCCATACCTCACATGTCCCCATACCCCATACGCCCCCATACCCCATATGCCCCCATACCCCATATGCCCCCATACCCCATACGCCCCCATACCCCATATGCCCCCATACCCCACATGCCCCCATACCTCACATGTCCCCATACCCCATACGCCCCCATACCCCACACGCCCCCATACCCCATATGCCCCCATACCCCACATGCCCCCATACCTCACATGTCCCCATACCCCATACGCCCCCATACCCCATATGCCCCCATACCCCATATGCCCCCATACCCCATACGCCCCCATACCCCATATGCCCCCATACCCCACATGCCCCCATACCTCACATGTCCCCATACCCCATACGCCCCCATACCCCACACGCCCCCATACCCCATATGCCCCCATACCCCATATGCCCCCATACCCCATACGCCCCCATACCCCATATGCCCCCATACCCCATATGCCCCCATACCCCATACGCCCCCATACCCCATATGCCCCCATCCAACCGTGCACCACCACTCACCAGCATATCTGGCGAACCATCGATAGTCCATGCTGTTGCTCCGCCCGCTCCCCACATGCTCTTTGATTCTCGAATACCCCCCCACATACACCCCCGGACACACCTCCCGCGCGCCCCCCTCCCCCCCCACCAGATCCGCCACCCCGTGCAGGCAGTGCGTGGACGTCGAGCCGACATCGCCGCCCAGATATAACGGGCAGGCCGAAAATTCTGGTAGGAGCTCCTCGAAGCCTGCAAGCTGCCCGAGCGTGTACTGCGAGGGTCTGGGAAGATAAATAGGAGCAAGAGAGGGGGAGAGAAAGGGTAGAATGAGGCACACGCGGAAAGAGAGCGCGCGTAGGGGGAAAGCAGGGGTTGTAAGAGGAAAGGTAGGGGGTGGGGACGGGGGAGAACAGATGAAAAGGAAATGAACAGCGAGAAGTTATGTCATGAAAGGAGAGTGGGAACAGTGGGATGGCATGGCGGGAGGGATAGTGGGATGGTGGGGTGGTGGGATGGTGGGACATACCTGTTCAGAATCACGCCCGCAGTGCCTTGTGGCCTGTGGGCATGGCATGGTATGGTCGAGGGTAGGTGGGAGAGAAGGGAGGGGAATGGGAAGGGTGGGAGACTTGAACGCAGTGCAACGAGATGAAGTGGAAGAAGCACTGCGTTCCACTTCATCTCAGCCCTCTGTACTTCTTGTGCAAGTGCATCCACTCGTTCCCTCACTCCCTGACTTGTTCACTATCTCTCACCGTGACCCACTCATCCATCACTCCCTCACTCGCTCACCCGTGCATGAGCAGGAAGATCACAGCGCGATTAAAGTATTGCTGAGACACCCCGAACGCCCTCGGCTGAACAAGGATGTTCTCGCACTTTTCCCCTCACTCACTCCCTCACTCGCAGTCCCTCCCTCGCTCACTCCCTCACTCCCTCCCTCACTCGCTCCCTCTCTCGCGCTCACCCGTGCATGAGCAGGAAGATGACAGCGCGGTTGAAGTACTGCTGAGACACCCCGAACGCCCTCGGATGCCCCAGCAACACACTCCCAATCTCTCTCGTTCCCGCAGTCCCTCCCTCGCTCACTCCCTCACTCCCTCCCTCACTCGCTCCCTCTCTCGCGCTCACCCGTGCATGAGCAGGAAGATGACAGCGCGGTTGAAGTACTGCTGAGACACCCCGAACGCCCTCGGATGCCCCAGCAACACACTCCCAATCTCTCTCGTTCCCGCAGTCCCTCCCTCGCTCACTCCCTCACTCCCTCCCTCACTCGCTCCCTCTCTCGCGCTCACCCGTGCATGAGCAGGAATATCACAGCGCGGTTGAAGTACTGCTGAGACACTCCAAACGCCCTCGGATGCACCAGCGGCACACACCCCCGTCTTACTCGTTCTCGCACTCACTTGCTCGCTCACTCACTCCCTCACTCACGCACTTCCATATTCCCTCACTCCCTTACTCGCTCACTCACTCCATCACTCCCTCTATCCCTCCCTCACTCGCTCACCCGTGCATGAGCAGGAATATCACAGCGCGGTTGAAGTACTGCTGAGACACGCCGAACGCCCTCGGATGCGCCAGCAGCACACACCCCATCTCCGGCACTGCAATAGGGTGAGCCCACGCCTTGGGGGAGGAGGGAGAGGCGGAAGGAGAGGTGGAGGAAGGGAGTGGGGAGGTTACATTGCTTCTTCTCTCCCCTGCTTCCTCGTCCCCTCCTGCTCCTCCTCCTGGTGCTGCTTCTGGTGCTGATTCTGCTGCTGCAGCTGCTGCTGCGGCATTCGAGTCTGCTGCTGCTACATCTTCCAAGCCTGGCAGAACTCCAGCCGTTGATGTGCTGCCTGTCAACGCATCTCCACCGTCCGTTGCCCCAGATGCGCCAGGCTCCTCCCCCGCCACCCCAACCTCCCCGCGGATCAGGCGCGCGCGGAACTCCCGCCAATCCCCCAGGCTACTCACGATTTCCGCGCTTTCATCCTCGCTAGAGACGTCCCCGATAGTAACATCTTCGCCTTTGTCCTTGCGCTGACTAGATACAGTATCATCCGATCTCTTATATGTGTTTTCCGTATCTTCACTTCCCACTCTCTCCTTTCCCGTCTCGTCTCCCCCCTCCTCCTCCCCTTTGTCGTCACTGGACCCGATTCCGTCCGCGTTACCAGCAGACGCGTTGCAGTGTACGCGACGGGTGGAGCCGGAGTGTAGAGACGACGGGATGAACCGCGTCGCGGCGAGCCTTATAAATTGAGCAGACGGAGGGATGATGCGAAGTGGGAAGGATGGAGAACATATTCGAACAAGAGACAAACTGGTGGATGATGGACTTTTAGTTCGACCAAAGATAAGTTTTAATTACACTAAAAACAAACGAAATGCCTGAACATTGCGTGTAAATTCAAATGCAGGTAGCGAAATGGAGCGAGAATTTGACGACTATATGGCGAATCTGTAACCATCGACCGCACAGACGAACACTTACTGTCCAATGGGGACGCGGAGTTCACCCACGTGGCTTCCTTGCATTCGATTGGTCTGCACACGTGGCAGATGGGATCGTTGCCGATGCACGGCGGATACCGGACGAACGTTCCGCGAAGCAGCGCCGTCTCCAGCGGTAGATGCAACAACAGGAACCGAAGCAGCAGCAGAGGCTGCACTGCACGGTAGCGCGCATGAGCTGACAACGAGACGCTCCATAACGGGGACTCGAGAACGGGTTTAAGGTACGGCGCTGCACCAGGCGGTAAGTACTCGCGAAGCAGCAGCAGCGGCAATCCCGCTATAGTAGCAATAGCCTACAATCGATAACAAAGTCAAGCCCAGAATAATCCGCTACCTTCAGTTGCGAAGCGAAGTGGCCAGTCTAGAACATTCTCTACGGTGTAGTGGTGAGACTGCTACATAGTCTAGGAGGATTCCAGATTCTAGCCACGTCATACATGACCTCAGAATGCTGCTTGCAAAGGTGAAGTTGGTTTGCAGTGGAGACTCCCCAAGAATGAAGGAATTTGTGGTAACTCTGACGAACTTCGTGTGCCCGTTCTGAACCTGCAGATTGCCCTCACGATTTTCGAGATTGAGCGAAGTGAGTAACGAGACGATGCGAAACTTGAACGCAATACGTGGCGCCATGTTGGTGCTGCGGGTACTGACTAGGGCCGTGAATCTTGGTGTCGGCACGCAATACGCGTTTTTGACATAATATCCAGATTAGAAGCCCATTCGAGAGACTTCTAGCCTTTTGGTACAATATCAATGGAACAAGATTCACATTGTAGGACACATCTGGAGCTCTCTTTCAAGATAAGCCTGACGACGATGTATGTAGCCCGCCCTACTATAGTGGTACAAAGCCCACCCGCAACCTGCCTGGTATTCATTTGGCAGAGATTTCATGCACGTTTTCCAAAAAACATCAACGAAACTTACATAATCATAGTACAGAAGTTCACACATGGCTCACCAACTTGCTCACGAGCAATATCATGTATGGTATGACCCTTTTCATGCCTCACAAAGCAGTAACATTGTCTCACAGAGAAAGCTGATCGGACAAAGCCCTACGCCTGTCGGCATGGAACGATAATGAACCCGCTAGAAACTTGTTAGGCTGTTCCACGTCCTTCACATCTGCAAGCCTCTGCTTCCACGTCCCTCCTTTCCATGCCCCCTTTCCATGCCTCTCAAAGCAATACCATTTTCTCACTTAATCCACAGAGAAAGCTGATCAGACAAAGCCCGTCGCCTGTCTGCATGGAACGACAATGAACTTGCAAGAGACTTGTTGGGCTGTTCCACCTCCTTCACATCTGCAAGCCTAGGCTTCCACGTCCCGCCCTTCTTCCCTCCACCCCCTCCTCCCGACCCTTGCGCACCAACGCTCGCAGCATAAGTTAAGTGACACGTGTCACTTAGCATTTCCACGCGTTTTCTAAAGGCCTCGAGTGCTGCTTTTAGCTCGGCGTCGCTCTCCTCTTTGCTTCCCTTGTGCTTGCTGCTGCTGCTGGATCCTAGGCCGAGAATCGCACTGCTGCTGCGACTGTGGCCGTGACTGCTGCTGCTACTTCCACCCCCCCCACCGCCACCACCTCGAGTCTTGCTGCTGCTGCCACTACCGCTGTTACCACCACCACCATCACCACCACCACCACCACCCGCAACACCACCTGAGCGACCAGCAGCAGCAGAACTGCCACTGCCATCCCCACCACTGCCACCGCCGCTGCCACCAATACTGCTGCTGCTGATGCTAGTGCTGCTCGTAAGTTTGGTGGTGAGGGATTGCGAGCGCGGGTAGCGGTGGGATGCGCGGGCAGCAGAGGGGGCGGAGGCGAGAGGCACGGCGGCAGCAGAGGAGGACTGGAGAGCCGCAACCACCGCTGCAGCTTCCGTGGAAGCTTCTATGGAAAGAGCACGCAGGAGGCGGCGCATGGGGCTGCGGTTTCGACCCGCTCCCTCCTGCTGCTGCTCCTCCTCCTTCTGCTGCTGCTGCTGCTGCTGCTGCTGCTGCTGCGGGTGCTGATGCTTGTGCTGCTGCTCCTCCTGAAACCTTCCCTGTCCCTTCACCTGCTCCTGACCCTCTCCCAAATTTGCCTGCTTGCGACCCTCTGCCTTTGAAACAATGCTAGTGGGTAAAGCGCTAGCAGCAGGGAATCCGCTGGCATAAAGGCCGCCAAACGCGGCAGGGGCAGCAGCAACAACAGGGACGTCAGCTGCTGATATATCGAGGGACAAGGCACCGAGAAATCTCCTCAGAGGGCTCCTGTTGCGATCCGCCTCCCCTCCCTTGCCCTGCACTCCAGCATCACCCCCTGCACCCCCTCCAACCACTCTGCTTCCCTCTCCACCGGCACCTTCGCCTTTGCTTCCCCTCGCGAGTTTCTCCTCTTCCTCCTGCTGTCGCTGCATGCTAAGAGACTCTCTTAAGCACCAGAGCGCTAGTGTGACATCAGCTGCAGCAGTTACACCCAGCTCCTCCTCCTGGGACTTAGCCAATGCTGTGCCGCCTTCCATGCTCTTTCCCCGTGCTTTCATGCCGTCTCTGCTACTAGCCGCTTTCCCCGTTTCTCTGGTACGATCAGGAGCATTGTCTCTGCTGCTTGCATGCTCTCTGCTCCGCCCCTCACTGCTCCTCCTTTCCTTACCAGCACGCCTGCTGTTGTCACTTTCATCCTCCTGGTGCATTCCTCTACCCTCATTCTCATCACT